AATAGATTTAATCCAACCGCTGGTGGCACACCAAAAGGCTGGCAATTTGGGACTGGCCATCATAAAAGAGTTGCTATAACTTAGCTTTAACATGACTTATCTAAGAGATTGAATATTTATTCCAGGAAGCCTTGATTTGGGAGATGAAATACCAAAACACCACCACCAGGGCAATGCTGGCAGTTCAGAAGTATCAAAGAAGTATGTTCATTTTTCAATTAGCAACTTGGCTTGAGTGATTTCGCTAATCTGAGAAGTGAAATCACCTTCCAAGTGTTATCTGAATACAGCTCCACGTGAGGGGAACTTCCTTGTCTCAGGAAGATAAGGGCTCTTACAAAGACCAGAAAGCAACACCTGCTGTTAAACACCTCAGCTCCATCACCTGCGGATACCTCTGCTTCATTTACAAAAGATACTAGCCAGGAGAGTGAAAAAATAATAAGTGTCCTCGCAAATATCTGTTGATTTATGGTCCAGAGGGTTCATTCAGCAGGTGTTAGCTCTGTGCCTTTGACAAGCATGCCGTAACACCCAGAAAGCAGCACAAAACAGGTCCTTCTGTTTGGAGCACGGCAGCCGCGCTGCCGGCAGGAGACTTTCAGGAAGAGCCTCCTAAAAGGAAAGCGGTGCCGCGCTGACGGCCGGGCTGTGCTCGGTGCACACAGCTGCTGGGCAGCTTCGCGCACGGCCTCCCCACCAGCAGCGCGTTGCTGTGCCGTACATCAGCACGGCTCGGGGTATCGCAGGGCAGATGCAGCACATCTTTGCGCCTCGCCCCGCAGGCTGCGGCGGCTCCGAGCCCGAGCACCGGCTGTACGCGGCTCTCTTCAAGAACTACAACCAGTTCGTCCGCCCGGTAAAGAACATCTCGGACCCCGTCATCATCCAGTTCGAGGTGTCCATGTCCCAGCTGGTCAAAGTGGTGAGTGTTCGGCCCCACCCGGCGCCCGCGGGAGGGCCGGCCCCGCACCCGACACGCCTTTGTTTTACAGGACGAAGTCAACCAGATCATGGAGACCAACCTGTGGCTGAAGCACGTGAGTAGCGTTCCCCGAACCCGGCGGGACGAACCCGGCACGAGGCGGCCGCCCAACGTTGCGGGGTTCACGCGCGGAGCCTCCAGGCCGTTCCCCTCAGCTCTGCTTTGCTGCCCGGCGCTCTGCTGCCCCCCAGCGGCACGCGGCAGCACCTCGGCACGCGGCGCGCTCTTTCCCGCCTCGGGCCCTGTGAGAGCGCCGCTAGGGCGAGCGTGCCTCAACCAATGCAACTGCCACTGGCCCCTCGCACCAACGCGGCGTGTAAATACGGGGCCAACGTCGGGGTGCAGCTGTTCAACTGAGGGCGATCAGCTGCAGCAGTAACCCTCCTGCGCTCAGCGTCGTCCCCGAGCGCCGCGTTTCGCTCTAGAATGTTGCCATGGTGGATAGGAAGGCACACAGGGGAGGCTCCGCATGGGGGGCTCTCGTCACACAACGCTCCAACACGACAGTGCTGCCTTGGCTTAAAAGGAACTTCATAGGTTAAAAAGGCGATTACTTACTGTGATGGTCAGCATAACCAACTTAATAGGCAGCTTCATCTTAATCATCAATTTGGCTAAGCTGGGTTTTAATGAGCACTAATGAACAGTCGCTTGACTGAATAATGCCACCTGGGTCTGTCCTTCAGTGCTTTCACACAGCAACACAGCCACCCCTCAATCCATTTCCACTGCGTGGCAGTGCTTTTTGAGGCCTAAGTTATTACTCCCATCCTTTCTCACCTTGTTTCACTGGTACAGGGACTGAGTCACCTCCCGACCCACACAGACACCTGACTTGGATTTGCAATTAAGAAACATCTGATCGTGGCCGTATCCAAAACAAAACAACCCTAAAAGCCACCCCACAGCACTTGTTTTGACTCTAGCCCACAGGATTTTGATCTCTTTGCAAACTTAATGCACTGACTCGTTTTTTCTGTAATTAGATCTGGAATGATTACAAGCTTCGGTGGAATCCAGTGGATTATGGAGGTGCTGAGTTCATCCGAGTGCCCTCTGGCCAGATCTGGAAGCCAGATATTGTATTATATAACAAGTAAGACTCCCACATACCTGTTTTCTTAGTTCAGTCATAACAGTTCTAAACTCAAAGAAGGAAGATCTGTGTGAGATGGAAGCAAGAATTCTTTGCTGTGGTGGTGATGAGATGCTGGAGGTTTCCCAGAGAAAGTGTGTGTGCCCCATCCTTGGAAGTGCTCCAGGCCAGGCTGAATGGGGCTGTGAGCAACCTGACCCAGTGAAAGCTATCTGAGACCCATGGCAAGGGCTTGGAATTAGATGGTCTTTAAGGTCCATTCTAACCCCAACCATTCTGTGGTTCTACAGGAGCAACTGCTGCTGATTTTTTAAAAACTAATAAATACCAACAAATTCAGTGAACTTGCTGAAAAAGCTTACTTTCCAATGTCCCATCTCTCTGCTACTTACACGCCATCTACATCAGCATTGCTGGCTGAGCCAGGTCCTAACCTGAAGGTGCAAGCACTGCGGGGGGGGGCAGGCCAAAGTGAGGTTTACTTTTTCCCTTCACAAGACCCCAGTTTTAATACTGTTTTTTACACTGCTGACAAGGGAAATGACAGTAAGTTCCCTTGTACTGCAGTTTTCTTATCTGAGTCAGACTGAAACATACAAACAAGCTAATTCTAACTTTCTATCTGCTAAACTCATAATTTGACACCTTTCCTATAGCAGCATACAAAAGCTAAACTTTAATAGCTAAAAAGCTAAAGCTAACAGCTAAAACATGACTGTGAAGAGCCAAACCATAATTAAATGGATTCCTCTGCTCTCAGTCTGATGTGTTTCACTACACAGATCCAAAGCCTAAATCTGTGGAGAGGAGAGACACTGCTGCTTTTCTAACTGCAGCCATAAGAAAGAAAATTACATTTTCAGTTTTACTTTTTGTATAAACAAATGTAATTGTCACATAGATCTTACTATGCTGGATGGGACCAGGAGAGCGATACAAAACTTTAAAAAAACATCAGTGAATTCACAATTCAGGCAAAGATGCACCTCAACACTACTTACTGCCTTCATGGTCCGCAGAAGAGGTGGAAACATCAGTGCTGCAGATATCCCTTGATACTGGCCCTTGGGTTCTGACATGCTTGGTCTCACATTTGCTGTTTTGTGTACTGACTGCACTATGTTATTACTGTAAGAGAGAATCTCTTTTTTTTTTTTTTCAAATCCTCAAAATTTATGAAGCTGTTCAACTGTGATAATTTATGACAAACACTGACAGTCCTGCATACTGACATGGAGCTGAATCGCATGTGGAACTGCTGGCTTCCACAAACCGTATTAAAGATTGAATGTGTATGAACTGACAATGTGAAACTACCTGGATCAGTTGCATCCTGATGTTATTTTCATTTGCTTTGCAGTGCAGTTGGAGATTTCCAGGTCGATGACAAGACAAAGGCCCTACTGAAGTACACGGGTGATGTGACCTGGATACCCCCAGCTATATTTAAAAGCTCATGTAAAATAGATGTAACCTACTTCCCATTCGACTATCAGAACTGCACCATGAAGTTTGGTTCCTGGTCTTATGATAAAGCCAAAATTGACTTGGTTTTAATCGGCTCTACGATGAACCTGAAAGATTACTGGGAGAGTGGAGAATGGGCCATTATTAAAGCTCCTGGGTATAAACATGACATTAAATATAACTGCTGTGAAGAGATCTACACAGACATCACATACTCTCTTTACATTAGACGCTTACCTTTATTCTACACCATCAACATGATTATTCCATGTCTGCTGATTTCTTTTCTGACTGTCTTAGTTTTCTATTTGCCCTCAGACTGCGGTGAAAAGGTGACACTCTGTATATCAGTCCTTCTGTCTTTAACGGTGTTTCTTCTTGTAATCACTGAAACCATACCTTCGACCTCCCTGGTGATCCCCCTTATTGGGGAGTACCTCCTTTTCACTATGATATTTGTAACGCTGTCTATTGTCATTACAGTATTCGTTCTAAACGTGCACTACAGAACACCCAAGACACACACCATGCCTGTGTGGGTGAGAACTATCTTCTTGAACTTACTTCCCAGGATCATGTTTATGACAAGGCCCACCAGCGATGAGGAGAATAATCAGAAGCCAAAGCCCCTTTACACTTCTGAGTTTTCAAACTTAAATTGCTTCAACAGCTCTGAAATCAAATGCTGCAAAGATGGCTTTGTATGTCAAGACGTGGCATGCAGCTGTTGCCAGTATCAACGGATGAAGTTTTCTGATTTCAGTGGCAATCTCACAAGGAGTTCCAGCTCTGAATCTGTAGATCCTCTGTTTTCATTTTCCGTTCTGTCACCAGAAATGAGAGATGCTATTGAAAGTGTTAAATACATTGCAGAAAATATGAAAATGCAGAATGAAGCAAAAGAGGTAAGAATATATTTTACTATTACTCGAACTGCATTTATGATCAATTTGCTTTGAAGAAAAAACAAAAAAACAAATGACAACACAGAGCACTGTTTGGTGTAAGTAAATTACATAAGCTGTGTTCCAAACACATGCAACTTTGAATGTAGATAATTTTGGGGAGCAGCTCTCTTGCACAACGTTCTCCTTCTTGACAACACGTCTTGCATGAGAATGTAATAAAATTTCAGCATTACCTACAAAATGTATACCAAACACACAGGTAACTGTGCACCAGTTCATCTGCAACATACTGTTTAAAGACCAGTAGTGTATTTCAGTAAGCTTTTCTGGCTAATTGTGATCACCTGAAAACACAAAGCTTTTTACTGTCAGTGTTGGCATACAGAAGTAGTATCCCATGAAGTCTGATGAATTGGTGAACAACTTTTTGTATCTGAAGCAGCTTCTGGTTTAGCACAAATAGCATACTCAAACAAAGCTGCTTCGAGATGATTTCATCAGTATAAACACAGGAAAGCTCAAAAAAATTCTTTGCACAGTATGTTAAAGATTCCTAATTGCTAATGCTTTAAAATCTAATAAACATGCCTACTTAATATTTGATTTATTTTTCAGATTCAGGATGACTGGAAATATGTTGCCATGGTAATTGATCGTATTTTTCTATGGGTTTTCATCCTGGTATGTATTCTGGGAACAGCAGGATTGTTTTTACAACCTTTGATGACTGGAGATGACATGTAAAAGCTTAAAACATCATGCTCTGAAATCAAATAAAACTTGTGCCAACCAAACTCTGCACTCTTACCCCAGCACCTGATAGCTCTTCTGTGTGTTTCAATAGTAGAATAAGGATCTCTCTTGGCTCAACTTTGCTTGACCTAGAAGGCTTCATTAAAAAATGTGATAACATGATAAAAATATATATTTTAAAACTTTCTCCAAGTAATATGTGCTGTGCTTGCCAGCTCCTTTTCACAATAGCTGGAAAAGATGTGGGTTGTATGTTAAACTTCATAGGAACTATTTAAGAAGCTGCTGATAAACTGCAAATTATACAGATGTTCAGAGAATCAAGACAGGTTGAGTACTGCAGGCTACCAGAGTTGAATGGAAGACACTTGGCACCAGACATGATGGGACCTTTGGAAATATTAATTCAACGTGTGCCCTGATGAGGACAGAATGGCTGAGGAAGCATACGTACCAAGTGCTACAGAACACTGCCACCCAGTGCACAAGCCCATTCAGTGTGGGAAGAAAGGTCTGTGGGCAGGTTTGTTACGAAAGGAATAGTAGGTGAGTAACAGATGATGGTTTTATTACAAGGGAAGGCAAGTGGATACAAAATACTCCTGTAAAGTATGCTAAAATTATGTCTTAGGTATGCCTTTTGTTTTAAATAATAACAAGATGATTTGAGAGCTTGGATAAACAGTACAACAAAAATACTCTAATGAGATGTTTTGTAAATATATAAATTGTTCTCTCTGTACCAAACTGGAAACTTTTTAGAGACAGCGCTGTCAAATGAGGTAACATTTATAAAAATAAAGAGAATCAAGCTGTTGAAAATTGGGATTTTCTTTCATTTATTTTGACCAAGAGACAAAACTACAGTAGTTACATCTCAGCACATTCAGAAAGGAGTTACATAAGTAAAGGCCCATGCTTCTGAGTCTATTGAAAATAATTTCGTTTCACACACACCTGAGGATGAGCTGAAAACCCCGAGGGTTCCAGCATATCTTTTTCATCCACAGACATCGTGATCTGATTAAAGAAACGACTGAAGGAACTTCATGCATTTACAGAAATTGTTAGTTACTAGTATAAAGGCTGGAACTCCGTTGGCCACACTGCCAATTACCCTATGATATAATTAAGAGTCTTCAGACATTATTGAACAAGGTGCAGGAGGGGAGCTAAAAAGATACATGGCTAATATCCTTGCTTTGTTTTCCTTTCCTTTGTTACCTTTGTAAGGGTAAACTGTAGTAAGTAATTCAAAGCTAAGGAGGACTACAAAAAGAAACTTTGCTCTTGGAAAGGAAACAAGATGCCCAAAGCTTTTCTGCAATTTTCACACACAGTTTCTGATGCATTAATATTAGCGATACTGAAAAAGTTGCTGTACTAATGGATTAAATCAGACTGCAAATTCACTTTTAAAATAAATTATGATGGGAAAGCAGAAAATACTGATATCTAATGCTAGATGGAATTGTGGAACTGAAGAGGAAGAGCAGTTTCTTTTTCAACCAGAATTATTTATAACTTGGTAAAAAATAACAGCAGGTTTTTACAGATTAGTTGGCATCACTTCCCTGTGCAGGGGACTTGAAAGGCTGCACATGAGCCCTGCTGGAATCAGCTGTGTTGTGAAGGAACAAAGAAACTGACAAAACCTAACGTGTAGGAAAAACATTCTCTTCTAGAGTCTCTGCCAGAAATAAAACTTTTAAGAATAGCAGCACTGGAATCAATTTGAAAATTAACACCCATTATTTAATTAATATAGTTTAGAGTAAATAATTTTATTATCATTAATTGTTAATTTTAAATATACATATATGAGATACAGCTGACACAGAGATGTCAATACTCACGTATCCTGTAAGCATTTTAAGGCTCAGTATATCACAGGGTCACATTAGTATGGTAGAATTAACAAGATTTTAAGTTCAGCAGCAAATGCCACTGAAAATTTATGGAGGCATAACGCAGTCAGAATGCTCTGTTTATTGGTCTGCTGAAAAGAAAGGAAGTTCAAGTGATGTTTCTATTATAATTTTTCATTTACATGTGTAGATACAAGTTCTCATTTGCATAATATAATAAGATGAAATACAACTCTATTGTGCAAGCATCTGCAAAAATTTAACAATAAATATAATATTTCCCATAGTAACTTAATAATGGGACTACAGTGATCTTCATTAAGAAATCTCAATCCTTCTCCTTCTCAGTAGGTGTCAGTATGTGCTGCTCCTAACACACACATGCAGATATTTGCAAAGGTCTTTGATTTTGACCTGATGTCCAAGTATCTTAATGGACTGGCACTAAGCAAATTGACTTCTGTGAGTCCCATGTGCCATGCTTTAACATCACAATTGTTAAGTTTAGGACTGTATTTTTTTTTCCTATCAGAAACGTGCCTACAAAGAACATGCATGGAAACTTAATACTACCAAACCTTTTTAGAATGATGTTAGCAGGAGATCCAAAAATATCTTATGTATTTGTACTGCCTATATGCACAGGTACTATTATACTTGCCCATTTATGAATAACAGGAATAAATAACACAAGTGATCCAATTATTGAAACCAGAAGAAAGGCCCATAAGAACATTCGATCAAGCACCTGAGCAATAAATTTCCAGTCTTCAACAACCTAAAAAACAAAGAACATAAGAGCTGTCCAGTATGTGCAAGAGCGGGTGAAAATACAGCATCAGACTCTGCAATAATTAATCACTTCATATTTTCCTCCCCCTCCTAGGCAGGTCAACTTGATTACCCCCTCCTTTTCAATATATACACATATTAATAAATCACACTGTGACCCACAGCAGGAAAACACTTCTCTCTATGTAGACCAGTAAAATATGCAGCTCAAATGCTAAATTTTAGTGGACCAGTTGACCCCAATGAGCATAGAACATCCTCAGTTGTATAGAGAGAAAATCAGTATGCAATTTAATAACATACTGGAGGATTTAGGATTCATGCCACAGCCTCACCACAGAGTAGGACTCCCAGGCAGAAGCTAGATGCTAAAGTTGCAAACAATTAGCATCAGACAGCAGCTCTACATTACACACAACATCTGAGAACTGTGACAACTAGTGCATGGAATTACACACCAGGTAGAACACTCACAGTGCTTTCAAGACCGTTTCCCTTTTTGATAGGATTATTTATGTCTACAGACAGTTTTGCAAGTAATGCAAGTACAGCTGATATAATCATGCAAGCAAATTAAAACTGCCAAAAAAGCAACTTTCGTTTCAATTGGAGCTACCTGCATTTCCCAGGCCTGCTGCATCCTGCAAGGCAAGGCTACAACACCAGCTGTGTAAATTTTTTTTCAACAACCAAGGCTAAAATCTTTCTGCAGTCAAAGCCTGCATTCCCCAGAGGCCAAATAACAAAATGTAAGTGAATCCCCAGTCTGCTGTATGTGCAATTCTGGCGTTTAGATTTGCACTGACTAAAAAACAAAATACCTATCATCTCTCTTGCCACATACAATCAAATAAAGTAATTTATTAAAGAGAATCGACTCACAATTTACTCAAAACTATACCTTTAAGCAAACTATTCTATTAGTGCTGTATATACATGGACATACTCTGCACTGTATATACAAGAATCCTATTTTGACAGTACAGTAGGTATTCAAAATCCAGTCAGGATCCCTTGTGATAATATCAGAGCACAGTCCTGAGAAGCTGCATTAGAAGAATTAATTTGCTCCAAGGCTAACATAGGAGTGCATACCTCTCAGCAACTTTTACAAGTGGTGCTAGTTTAAAGTAAGGAAGGAAAACTAATTTGTAACGATCTTACCTGCACAGCATAAACACCCACACTGAGGATAGCTCACTGTGAAAATGCACAGACTGAAAAATATCCTTTAAATTGTATCAAAAGTTGTCAAAGGGAAATGATAATAGGGCTAGAAGAGATCACTCAAGAGCTCATCCAGTCAAAGTCTGATCTCAGCACAAAATAATTAATCTGTGGTGACAGCCTGTATTTAACCTAATATAAACTATGGAATTTAAAATTGTCTATATTTGGAAATGAAAGATGCAAGAAAAAGGCTTAGCAGGAATTATTCTGGAATTGTAAATCAAATATATTTTTCAGGCAGCCTGCGGGTACAACACTAAAATGAAAAATACCTACTTCTTTCATTATGAAAACAGCATGCAGCAGCACTGCAGGTAGCAGTTACTGTACATGCTCTTGTAACAGCCGTGTGTCCCTGAGCATATTTGATTAACAACAACATGGGCTTCTATAGGAAAGCATAAATACGTCAGGAGTTCATGTATGGCATTATACCAACCTGGGAGCTCAGTGCTGGAGCATACCTGTACTTCTTTCCAGCAGAAACAAGTGTATGACTTCCAGTGAAGTATAAAAACTAGAAAACCTAGCACATACTGAATGTGCCCACACAGTGAACGTGCCCACAGTGAATGTGCCCACACAGTGAACCATTCCTCTTTCTTGTTGTGCTTCGTTTCAACAAGTTGCCTTGTTTTTTTTTTTTTAATTTCCACTTTTAACAAAATGAGTTTAATACGACTAGAACACCCACCTCACGAACTTCATTCTCCTTCATAACATGCCTTGTGATATACCGGATAGAGTCTAGAGCAGCTTCCAAGGTGTTTCTGGATGACTCTGATCCACTCGTATTTCCTTTTTCCTCCTTCTGAGCAAAGTATCTATCTACATGACTTCTCATGCAAAGCAGCTTGGGAAGTTTGTGAAGAAATATCTTGCGAACCCAAGGTGCCATGGCGTTGTGTGTAGACGAAGAGCGGTGATGAATATTGATAGCAAAGACAGTTATCACGATGGACAGTGTCACAAATATCATAGTAAACACCAAGTATTCTCCTATAAGTGGGATAACTTTAGAAGACGATGGAATAATCTCTTCAATGACAAGAAGGAAAACAGTCAGAGATACCAGGACTGAAGTGCAAAGGGAAATTTTTTCACCTTCATTTGAAGGAAGATAGAAGACGAGGACAGTTAGAAAAGAAAGTCCAATGCAAGGAATGATGAGAAACAACGTGTAAAAAAGAGGTAAACGTCTAATTATAAACGAATATGTAACAAAGGGATACCAGCAGCATCCATCAGTTCTATTTCCTTTGCTCCCTGTTGCAGTCACTATTTCCCATTCTCCATTATCAAAAAAGTCTCTTTTGTCAACATCATAATCTTCTAAAATTATATCAACTTGGGAGCCATCGTAAGTCCAGGAACCAAATTTCATAGAGCAGTTTTGGAGGTCAAAGGGAAAGAAGGTTACATCAATAGTACAAGAACTTTTGTAATTTGCTGGTGGAGTCCAAGCAATGGTGCCATCATATTTTACCACAGTTTTAGTAGACGTCCCCTCAAAACGTCCATCTGCACTGAAAGAAAAAGAGATATGTGGAGGAAGAGATGTTTTGTTATTGTTGTTTCAGCTGTTTGCTCCTTCTTTCTCCCCTTTCACTGCCACAGTTTTGTATCGTGCTGTGTTCACAGTTTACTTCTTGTGGTTGGTTGATTTCCTGGGGGGTTTGTTGGTTTATAGGTTTGGTTTTTTTGGGGGGGTGGTTTTTGTTGTTTGTTCTGGTTTTGTTTTTTAACCTGAATCTCACACAGTTAATTACCTTCACAAAAGTGAAGAACATTGTCAAGCCATTAAAAGATCTGTACAATTTACAGCAGCCCTGATGATTCAAGCAAGGGACTGTGGAAATCCTGACCTTTGGCAGCCTGACCAAACCCTGATGTTTCTATTGGTAATACAGCACAAATACTTCTAAATCTGGAGAAATCACAATAATTGGGGGAAAAAAACAACCACTCCACTTGTGCTCCACTTCCAAGCTTGAAATTATAATCAGTCTCTCTTGACTCACCAAGCCAGAAAATGTTAGAAGTGTTGCATGTGCACCTGAATTGATTAGAAAGGTTCATTCAAAACTTATTTCCTCTGGGGTTCATCAATTCTTGAAGGAACAAACTTACTGCTAATTCTTAATGTACTAAACGTACATCCACATACTACGTACAAGAAGCCTCCTACAAGCAGGTTGGAGAGTCACGTTAGCAAGAGGAAAAGGTGTTCTATATAAAAAGATTAAAATCTTACTTGTCATATAACACAATGTCTGGGATCCAAATAGAATCCGATGGGACACGAATAGATGTTATTCCAGCATACTCTTCAGGGTTCCATCTTAATTTTACATCTATCCATTCCTGTAGATGCAAGAGGTGTAGAAATCATAATAAAGGTGGAGTTTATTTAAGCAGGACGTGATCAGATAAACATAGACGTACAGGCAACTTAAAATTAGCAAACAAATGCATCACACTTCTGTAAGTTTTCTGAACTTCATATACAACACTGAATTTGCTGAACAGACAACTAAGGACATTGTCCAGCATTTGTTTTTTATGATAAGAGCCATTTGACACTATTTTGATACAGACCTCACAGTATTAAAATCTTTTTTCAGAGCATGTTTACACAAGTAAAAGTATTAGAGATAGTATTTTATATTTGAACTAAAAGCTCTAGAGGGGCAAATGCTCAGAAACCTGCATTTTTCATCAGAGAGAATTGTAAATACATTCAGGTCAGTTCTTATTTCATTTCTTCTTCAATTCTTCATTTCTTATTTCATTTGAGCTGACTTAACTGCAGTAAGTTCTGCTTGCTAAGTAGTAATACAGTTTTCTTGAAAATAAACGCCTGAACTTACAGTCATTGGAGAGAAGAGAATGGAAAGAACCAGAAAAAAAAAAATAGCCAAAATAAAAATAATTCAGTAAGGCAGCAAATACAATTAGAGCCTGCAACCACTTCTCTAAGTTAAATTAAGAATGATTTGTGAGAAGCATTTCACAGGCTAATAGTGGCCACTAAGTTTAGCATGGGATTTAGATTATTATCAAGCCTGTAGCTGCCTCTTGCCCATAAACAAATGCTGTGATGAGCAAAATCAGCTTTTTATAGCAAGTACATACAGGTCTGAAATTGAAAACTTCAGTGGTAGTTATTCACTGAACACCTGACAAGAGAAATATCTTAAAACAAATACATAACAATATACACAAACCCTTCATACTCCTCTTAACACAGCTCTCGAAAGAAAACCTGTTGTACAGAGGCAGTGATTTTCATCATGGTGATAACACACACCTTGGTCTACTCAGCAGCCATTCAATGCAGCCTCAAAATTATTTTTATATGGCACATTTTAAAAACATATTTCATTTTTTTAAACTGAATTTTGTAACAATTCATCCTTTCAATGTAAACAAACTACGTGAAGTAAGAAAGAACTACAGCGTCTGAGTGAACAGATATTTAGGAAAGTTGCATCCAATTTTCAATTTGCAGTTCTGAAACCTCAGAGTTCACTGCTCTTTTACACACACCTGTTTCAGCCAGACATTTGTGGTCATCAGCTGATTCTTCTCATCCTATAAAAATGAAATGTATTTTATTAAAACAAAAAAATTGCATTGCACATAGTAACTAAGTGCTACAGTTGATGCAAGTTTGCGATGTAAAAAACAGAAAGCACCCCTAAACCATTCCAGTCTTTGCTAATACACTTTTAGGAGAACTTTTAAACCACAACAGTTATGTCCTTATATTATTCAACTGCTTAAAAAGCAGTATTTTCCCCCTCCTGTGATTCTTTCCTCTCTTCCTTTTTTTCATGTGACTGTATTTCATGCACTCTTACTGTTCTGCTATGGAAACATGACGGAACAAGAAACCTGTGGAGGAAAAACTCCAAGTGGAAAAACCAACTGATTCGATTTGAGAAGAATTTGAAGAGAATAAGTTTTGGGAGAAAAAGTAAAATAAAAGAAACAAGCTTATTTACTGTACGTACCACATCTACCAGCTGAGAGATTGCAAGACCAAACTTGATTTTTATCGTATCATTCAAGTGTTCCACTGGACGAACCCATCTTTGATAGTCTTCAAATAAACGTTTAAACAAACGATCTTCACTCTTGGCAATAAAAGAAGGTTCAGATACACCTGCACAATAACAGCAACTTATTAACAGTGATTTAAACGAGTACATCTGTGTGCATACGCTCAGGTAGTAATAAGTTTCTCATCCCCCTCCATCTAGAAGCATGGCCACGGCTGTGTCAGAATGTTACAAAACGACCTGGCTGTATTGGCCCCTCAGTACTGCCAGCATGTTTACTGCTCAAGAAATGAAGATACTTTTACTACTACTAATAACAGAGGCAAAATGCACTCATGTCATTTGACTCATAGCACTTACCAGGCACTATGCAACCATGGAAATCTCTAAAACTCAAAACTTACCTATGAGGAGTTGAAGTTCTATTGTTCTAAACCAAAGTGGCACTTTTAAAAACCAGCACATAGGCCTTCAGTACACTGCAGAGCTTCTGCTCCTGTTTGAAATGTAGCTGTCTCCACCTTGCTTCTTCTAACATTTGTGCCCATGCCACACTAAGCTCTGCAGTACTTGTAAAGTACTTTTCCCCACATCTTTATTATTTTCTAGACATGTGCTAATGTGTCTATCACTAAATCCTCTGTTTTTCTATAGACAGGAAGGCACCTTTATTTTTAAGTAATAGCATGCAGTCAGTCACTTCATTTTCAGAGTGCTCAGGGATCCATTTCAGTGCCTGGAGACTGACTGATGACCTACACAGACAAAGACTTTGTACAGTTAACAAAGAACAGCAAATTAAAATGTCTCCTCCCACCTCCCTGGAGAATGGAATGTTTGGAAGAGCTTTGGAAAACAACAAACGATGACCCAGGAGATCACACAGACCAGCAGAACACAAGAAGGAGCTTGCTGCTCACTGATGGGATTTCAACTCACTGAAACTACTGCAAAAGAAAGACTTCATAATTATTATAGTCAGGCTAAGGGACAAAGTAACCCAAAGATGTTCACAAACATCTCTTTTTAATGCACTATAACAAAAAGCTATGGCACGACCTTTCTAGAAGTGATGTGCTCACTAACAGTATCCATCTAAAAAAAGATGCATCGAAAATAGGAAAGCACCACAGAATGGCATAAACAGATTAAAACCAGAGGCAGACATGCACGCGAGGAGAGATTTAAAAGATTAATATTATTTTGCTTGGCAAGGAGGTGAATTTAGTGCACGCCACAGAAGACATGAAGTAGTGAACGGTGCTTGCAGGAAAATGACTGTTTAACCTTTCTTGTGAAAGAAGACAAAGGAAACAAAAGGATCAATTAAAAGCAACATCAGAGATCTCTATTTAAAGTTTATTGCCTAAGATTGCGGGGCTGTGGTCAGCGCAGGTAGCACGATGTTTGCCTGTCACTCATTTCAACACCACCTGGGTCAACAATTTGAAGGGCTTGCATTTGTGGCAGACTTGGCTGGGCTGAAGACACCAACTGAAATGCACCAAAGCTCCCTGCCTGCGGCTGCACCCAGCCCAGACAAGCACAGCATCGCAGCTTTTGGTTTCCTCCCACCCATCGCAGCGCTCTGCTGTGCTTTGAGGGCCTGACCACGAGGGAATTTCTCCACCTCGGTCAGCACTGCTGGTCAGAACAGTGCAGCAGAACCACTGTTAGGAATTCTTACTGATATTTAAGCTCAATGCAACCTCGTTAGCCAAGGGCTTTTTCCCGTTCCTAACTGCACACGGATTTGCCAAGCCCTGCTGATTACAGACATCTGAGAGAACACTTCCCGAAGACACAACTCAATTTCTCTGTTTCTATATCCCTATTTCCTCAATGATGAATAGTTTTGTGTACATTCCAGCCTAATGTTTCATAAACACATGATTTTTGTATGAGCATTAATTGCATTTTCCTGTTAAAGTTCCAACGCTACCGAATTTTGTGAACAATTTGTGAGCATTAATTGACCTTGAAGCAATGCAGAGGCAGAGTTGCACTGTCACAGTCTCTGTGCTCCTGTAAGACGACCTCCTGTGCACCAACACAGCACCCTCCAGGTACACACCACTTGCAGATGCAGCTTCTCTTACGCTGAGCTAAAAGGGGATGTGTGCCCTTACCACTTTGCCACGCTTCAGAGCAAGGTTTTCAAACACCTCATGCTCAGACCTACACCATACTCACTGATTTAATGAGATTACCATATTTACTAACAGCATAATTCAACTAATTATCGCTATTTTCCTCTCTCTCATGGAAATATCCACACGTTTTCATGCTTCTTGCTCTCTTTTCTGCTTACTAAATAAGCTGTAAGAGGAGGTTATATCCAGAAGGAGGTTGGAGGCAGTAACAAGGTCTGAAGAGTGGGCAAAAATAAAACAAGCCCCTCATCTTTCTGCATGTTATTTAATAGGACACACAGCTCATCCACTGCATGGACTGCATGCATTCAATTACTCTTCTTTGTGTATTTGCATGCTTTAAAAATTACCGAGTGTGCAACCGTTGTTTATCAGTGTTAGCACTAATTAAAACAATCTGAAGATGGTGGTGGTTAGCAGAAAAAAAGGTACAGAAGAGAGCAAAAGAGGTGAAATACAGCTGGCAGCAAGGCAGCACGCACTTGGAGGAGGCTACACCACTGGAAAAGAGCAAGAAGAAGTTAAACCTACGGAAAGGATTAGCAAAGTGGAGAACAAGCCTCACACTGAAGTGGGTTTTCAGCTCCTCAAGGGCCACTCTAAGCATGCCTGCACCTGTGTGGCTTCAGCCAGGTGGAGCTCAATAACTTCTGCAGCCTGAACCGCAGGTAGCTGCGCTCTACAGTGATAAATCCTGGAGGCAACACTTACTTCAGTTTGCACCCAAAGCTCTCTCCACTCAGTCTTCCTCCGTGTGATTTTGTGTACAGGACAAAATTAAAAAATCAGATCAGGAAATGGCCAAAATTTGAATTCTGCAATCACAGACAATCATTTCTATGCCAAGAGCGCTCATTTTTTGTATCATTACCTTAAGAACATGGATGCAGTGGGAGCATACTTTTGACAGGGCTACAATGGGTTAAAAATTAAGTAGGAAATGCAATTAGTAACAGAAACAACTGGATCACTACTTGATGCTTTTCGAGAAGAGATCCATGGCGCAGGGGGCTTCTTAGAAGTCTAATATTATAATTCAGAATCTCTAGCAGAGGTTTCTTATTTAATATCACTACAATGAGAAAGAACACTATAAAGGATAATCATCATGGCCATATATCCGTATTTTATAATTAAAACTTGCTTCTTTAATGGTATTCTAGTGCAGTGTACAGCCTGCTATCCATAAATCTGCCTGCTACAAACTGCAGCACACCCAACAGCTTGCCTGCATACCAGGGAGTGGCATTAACACAGCACACCTGCTTGGGTACACTTGCACTTTTATTACGACAATACTCTTATTTTCAGTGTCTTTCACATAATTTATAATGAAGGAAGCACTTTGAAGGCTATACGTGCAGTGGAAACACTTTGTATCATATTCTACAACCGTCCCATGGTCATTTCAATGGAAATATATTTAAATTTTCCATCTTTCCTATAAACTCTGAATTTTCTACACCGAGCATTGGTAATTGTCTTCTGAATTCCCCGAGCAGATCTGGTCACATCAGACTACGCTGGGAGCTGGTGACAATTTTAAGAGCAAGCCACAGTATTATTGCACAGACAGGAAAAAGTAAAGGAAGAGTACTTTCAATATTAACTGTACAGATCTTAAAAATATAAATAAAAACATATAAAGAACGCTCAACACGGAGAGAGAACCCCCTGCCACTGCTTCATTAATCGGAAGATACATGTAACACAACGACAAATCCCTCTATTCCTTAAAGTGATCACAAGTTGCTGCACGGTCTTCAGTTTCGTCAGAGGATATCTAGATACCTCCAAGGTTAAGAGTACAACCAAGACAGACCTGTGTTGCAAGAACTTGTACATATTTCCATTTATTTCAGGCTGCTCAAGTCATTTGAAGCATTGCTATTTGCTCTCCCCCAGCACAGCAGTATCGTGCCAGCCAGCAGCAGAGCAGAGTGACGTATTGCAGACATGAAACTGTCAGAGATTTCCAACTGCAACGCTGCTTAGCCTTAACCAGTATGAACAACGGCTCGACATCTGCGTGTAGAAAGCAGGGAAAACAGTTCTTACGCTCACTTGAATTTAAAAGATCAAAGTTTTCAGCTTGATAATTGGAAAGTATAACTAGACAGTCCCCTAAGAGCTTAGCATCAAGGGATAATTACTGCTCATACTAATGAGTGCATGTACAAATTTTATAACGACAGCAGCATGCTATACTGTCACGCAGCCTGCAGTTCATCAGGAAATAGATACAATCACCTTCGGGCTGCCTGTTCGGAGCCCTGTTTTTGCTCCAAACATCCGCACTGTGGGTTGTACGATAAAAGCACGGGGGTGGCAGGCAGCCCTCTGCGCTCTGCAAGGAGTGCGAGGATGAGCAAGTGCACAGAACCTCCACAGGCAAACTGTTTGCTTGTACAGACCTAATCTAGAGGGTGTGCATTGCAGAAGCATTCTAAGAATCACCAAAGAAAACAGAAAGAGGAAAAGAGAGGCGGAAATAAATAAATGCCAAGATCCCCTTTGCGAGGGGAAGGCGCGTGGCTTTCTGCTGTCAGGAAGAAGCTCAGGTCGCAGCAGAGATCTTCACAGTCTTCTGCTGCGATGGAAAATGCTGCGTTTCCAAATTCTGTGTTACAGAATAACCTTTTCAGTCACATTTAGCAGTAACAGATTGCAATTGTGCATGCTGAATTAAAAGCAAGAGGGCGATGCAATCCAGTTCCCTTACACCCTACGTAGGGCTATTTCCTAAACTTTGAGCTTTCAGAAAAGCCAACTTTATCTTCCGTTAATTTCCCTCCCGCTCGTATACTGCGACTCCCAGATTATCATTCTTTCTGGCAGAAGCCTTAGCAACGCGCCCATAAAGCACTTAGAAATATTTCTCGATCAATAATTCCTTGAATGAACATCGATTTTGCTCCTCCAAGCTTCGTTTCCCGCCCTCGCGCGCTGCCTCGCACCCCTCAGCCCGTGCCGCGCCCGCAGCGGGCCGTCAGGCGGCCGCTCCTCAACTCCGAGAGACAACGCGCCGCCCCGCGCCCCTCCGCACCGCGGAGTGACCGCAGCGCTCCCCCCTCAGCCCAGAGCCGGGCTGCGGCCCCGGGGCCGAGCGGTACCCCCGCCGAGCGCCTTACCCGCCTGAGAGGCGCGGACGGCGGGGCCGGCTCCGGGCTTCCCGAGGACGGGAGCGAAGAGGCAGGCGAGGAGAAGAAGCAGGGGGCGGCAGCAGCGCAGCTCGGCTCTCGGCTCGGCCATGGCCCCGCCGCCTCCGAGCCCCGCGGCGGGCACGGGGCGCCGCTGCCGGCGGGAGGCGCTGACCACGCCCCGCGCGGAGCGGCCGAGGGGCGCGAGGGGCGGGAGCCGCCGTGGCTGCCCGCCCTCACTCCCTCACTCACCGCCTCCCTCAGGGCAGCGGCCCGGGCCGGTGCTCCGCAGCCCCGCTGGGGTTCGGGGGTGTCGGCTGTGCTCTCGGCTGTGCGGGAGGAGCGCTGCTGCTGAGGGGGAGCTCCGAGCCGGCGCTGTCTGACCGCTCTTCCACACGGAGTTACAGTTTCTGAGTCAGAATGGTTTGGAACTTTTAGTCTCAAAACAAATTAATTGATGCAAGCTGAAAAAAGACCTAAGATAATTCCACCTGCCGCGGGTAGCTAATGCATATAATAAAAGCCCCTTCCAGGACCTATTCTCAATACCTGGTAACCAGAAAGCTGTGTGAAGGGATAACTTTAAATGCACCAACTGTGAAATATCAGTGATTAGTGATATTTTTTCCTCAATGGCCGTAATGTTAATACACAGAGTGTGCACAGCATCGGCAGCACTGGAAGCAGCTGGCACGAAGCGAGCCGTGCTCACATGGAACACACCGTGAAGATTTGTACATTTAGAGAGGAAAGCTGTGGGAGATGGGCTGAGCAGCTCTGCACAGCACTGCACAACGAGGGACCTCCTCCACTCTGAAAAAATGACCAGCATTTGTAGGTCCTGGAATGAGCCTTACTGAAAGCGGCAACGTATAACCACAACAGAATTCTCTCCTTCAAGTATTCATGCTGTACAAAAATGACGAGGCTATTATGTTCAACGACCAACACGGGTACTTCAGCATCAGACCCACTCTGAGTTGCTGAACTCTTGTATTTCTTATTGTCTGCCTGTCCTGCATCTGTGCTTGGGCTGCGTGTGTCACTGGGCTGTGTGACAGACATACTGCAGTCAGGGTGGAAGGAGGGCTGCTTACACAGGAGTTCCTCCCAGCACACAGCATCGATCGCAATGCTCTGCAGTAAGCATTCCTCATATTGAGAATCTGGCTGCATGCTGCATGCCCTCCACCATCAAAACATCCAGCGTGTGGCTCTTATTGTGAAGTGCTCGGTGCACAGGCAATGGTCAGCACAAGATGGAGAATAAACGAAAGCCCAAAGCGTGGCATGGAAATCAAACAAGCAACCTTCCCAACAACCAAACCCACCAATGTTGTATTCTTTCCTGTTGCAGTGGAGTTTGGATGTTTTCCGTGTGCTCCAAAAATTACTGGGCATTGCTTCAACTGGAATTACAAATCTATTGTGATGAGCGCTCCCTTACTGCACTGCACCTGCTGCTCCTGACCTGAGGTTACCACATAAAGTCTGTATTTCTATTATCAGCATATGAGCATGGTGGTAAACGCATTTCAGAGCCACGTTCAGTTAACAGAGCTAAACATAGCTGCCACTCCAAAGTGCAGGACGTAGCTAACTGGATTTATTACATAACCGTGAATTTGTTTGCAGCTGTGTCCCAGCCTGACCAAACAGATGCTGGAAGATATAAAAGGATTGAATTGTCTGCACTGCATGCCCAAACTTTGTCTAAATATTTTATGTAGATCATCTGGCAATTTTGCTGTATTATTACTGGTATAGAAAAGACTACTAAACAATAAACCTTTTTTTTTTTCTTCTCGTTTGGGCTTGGAGCAAAATGTTAATACTGACAGTAGCATGCTAAGCTTAATATTTATTGCTAAGTGAGACTGAAACAGTTACAAGAGAACTGCCTGGGCCTCTCTCAGCAGGAGCTGACAGCTGAAGGTCTCCACTGAAGTATGTGAATCCCCAGCAAATTGGCTGATGGCAGCTTTCACTGGGCACTGCGGAGAGCTTGAACTGGAAAACCAAACGCCAAACTAATCACAGATAAAACCAGCAAACTGCTCTGTTCTCTTTGTAAAAAATCTTTTGAAAAACGTCTGAGAAGCTGAATTTTCTCCTGCTGAAAGCAGAGAGCTATAGAGCCACTGAAGGGTACTCAGTTCTCACAGATGAAATATTCTAGCAGTTTTTCTTATTGTAATAGAAATGACTACAGTTAAAACCTGAAAACAAGGACAACTTTTACTGCACAAAAGCTGTCTAGGAAGCCTTCCTTGAAGAACACAGAAGACATTTAAAAAGTCCCTCAGTATTCTGAAGGTACATTTCTCTTTTGTGTGACGTACCTGAGCGTGTTAACACCATGGACTTGGATGTCTTGTATGCACTTGGATGTGTTATCAGTGCATCACATACAGCTCTGTGCCTTCCAAAACCGTGACATTAACATACATGCAATCCTTATGAGTGAATATACTCCTACAACACAGTAGAGAACTATTATCCCCAGTTTTAAGAATCTGAACTGAAAGAATAAATAAGTGGTTTGAGAACAAAAAAGCAGCAGCAGCCAAATTTAACACATCCTTTATCACCTTGTGTGCTTTTTTAAGTATGTAAAACAAAATAACGGGATGAGCAGGGACTTGCATCTGAAGTAACCTTCTGTGTTTCAGAGCACAGTGTGGTAAATCACACAGGTAACAATCCTACAAGGTATCTGCTCTTCATTTGAAAAGAATTGTCATTAGAATTTATTTATTTTTTCTTTGTTTAACTTTCATTATCTCTGAAGCTACCTAGAATAACAAAACACACGACCATTTATTAGGACAACCTATTTGTGAGTACCTGTCCTGGCAAGTTCTATTGTGCATCCCAGTGAGACGTAAACTCTCCAGTCTTTAAGTTTACTAACATCATGTTGGGCAAACCATTGCAAGTAAATACTTTTACCTAATCTGAAAGATCTGTCACCTTCCTTGGGACCACATGAAGCTCTGGTGTCAAAATAACACCTAATCCATGGCAGTAACTAAATATCTGAAATACTAACGCAATACCTGGTAAACTCCATGCTAGCACCAAGCACACCCAAATAATACATAAATTAAAAAAAAAAAAAAAAGAGGAAAATCATTCTGATCAGCAAAGATAACTCAAATGCCTCACCAGAATTAATTCTCTGGTCTTATGAGTTATGTGTAGCTACACAGCTTAGCACAACACCTCCACACATAACGTTGTAGAGATCAGAAAATGTAAAACATCCCAGCTTTTAATTATTGCAGAATCTGAGAAGTTCCCCTTTCACCAGGGAATGAAGCAGTCAGGCAAAGAAATAGCATTGGTAATTCTTGAAACAAAGATCCATATGTGCTTTTTACCTCTCTTCCTTAGAAACAGCAACATTTAAGAAACAATATCTTCATAAATCTATAAACTACCTGGCAATACTTCTACTACTACACCAAGACTCCTTGTGTGAAGTGCACACATTGATGAACCCTGACTTAAATGCTGTAATGCATTTCTAGAAGACAGAAAGCACTGCTGGAGTCTGCTGTAATTTAAGTGATCTTTGACCAGTTGGAAAGAACCTCTGTGTCAGCACTGCTGCTTTTCAGGCATATTCCAAGCATTATGAAACAGCCATCATCATGGATATCAGTGATTCAGAAATCTGCAAGAGATGCTGGTATTCTCTAATATCTTAAATGAATTATAAGAGGACTGCATGCTAAATTCTCTACATAGAAATGGAGCTTGAGGTATTTATAGTCCTTTGTCATGGAGATTAAATCTTACTCCCTGCATGTTGGTGCAACTATTCAGGACTTTTTACACTATCATTCCTAGGTTATGACCTAAAAGAAAAGGTCTAGTATTGCACAAGGTGCAAAAAAACCCTCAGTCTAACCTTACTAGCTACAAAACTTAAATACTGACAAAGTATTAATTACAGAAGACTAAAGCAATTGAAACAATTGCTCTGCACTGAGACTTAGAGAATTCATAAGCAGGTCCTGTGGCTGCATACATAGAACCACATCACCCTTACCTCGCTACGCAAACAGCTGTGGCCAACGTGAATGCAGTACATCCACAGACAGCTGAATCCAGACTCCTTCCTCTGTTCTCAACACTGAATCTTAGAGCAATGAGATAAAAAAAAAAAAAAAAAAAAAAGGGTTTTGTTGAGACTGATAATGAAATTTTACCAGCCAAAAATGTCTGGGGTTGGTTAAAAATAAGATACACAGTATGGATTCACTCTGGTCTCTTAAAGTCTTATTAAATCTCTTATTAAATCCTGCAAACATCCAATATCTTTCACAGTGAAAAGCTTCTACACATTCCCACAAAATCCAGTCAGTAGCGAGGCTGAATCATCATCCCCACAGTTTGAATTTCAGCAGATAGGGCTTCTCAATTAAGAATGTTAATCAAGAGGGCTTCTCATCCTGCTTTTTTTATTTAATACAACTGAAAGAGCATAAAAGAATTATGAGTTACTTGTTTACATTTCCTCTGCAAACTTCGTGTTGCTTTTTTTGGAACTAGATCTTCATTTTTTTGCATTCAGCATAGGGACAAACCAAACAGAAATTATTCTGATTTCTAATTCATGTACATGCACTATGATTTCTCAAGTGGTTCACTACTTTGTTCTCTACTGTTGTTTGACAGACAAGGGAACTGAATTCTTTGGGGAAGTGTAAGCAACACTCAGCTACAGAACATAAAACACGCCTAGAGCCTTTCAGGATAAAATGTAGAATAATCAATGTAGCTTTAGAACTGCACACTATTCTCTTTAACTGTTTGCACTCAGACAAGATAGGGCATCATTTCAATGTGGCCTTTGTGAAGTGTCTTCCTAATTTGTGTGTATATAGCTAGCATTGTATGATTGATTTCTTCGAAAGCAGGCACTCATTCAAGGTTATGCTAAATGGAACACATTTGCTACAGGGCATGATCAACACACTACTGCTTGCATGACCAAGATACAGCCTGCTACAGAAGGAAGCTGGCCAAAATTGAAGCTTGGCATGCCAATATGTTCTATTTTGGTATTTGTGAAATGACCACGAATGCTATTCCACATTTGAAGCCCCTTCACTACCTGAAAAGGCACCCTCCTGCCTTGCAGTTCACACACAGAGCTACCAGCTGGCACACACCATGTCACGTTTCAAAGCAATCAGTTCCCTCAAGACAGCACATACACAGGCATTACCAAGGAAATAAAGACACTCATCACCATTCTTCTTAAATTTTATTCCATAATAAAAAATAGAAGATGAAAGAAAGGGTGTTCAAGAATTAAAGCAATTATTGGTCAATATAAGGAACAGAAAACTAATTATCTTGATGATGATTAAGGACCTGGTTCAGCAAAAGTAATTCCGTGTTCTCCCCTGGCGTATTTGTAGGCTTCCACAAAACAGAAAACCAGATTACCTTTAACTGAAGCAGGTCCTATGCTATTTTCAGAACACTTGACTTCAAATTTTATTTATCCTTCTCCTTTTGCTCTTTTTCCTTCTTTTCACGTTCAGCTTTTGCTTCTTCCTCCTCATGTTGTTTTATCAACTGCTCCACCTCCTTTTGCTTCAGAACCCTTATTACTGTTTTCCCATTCTCTCTCGTCAGCGTTGCAATTTCAACTGAAACACAGGGAACAGACAGAGGCATTACGTACCGTCCTTCTGAAAGAACATCATCAGAAAGGTCAAGTAGTTACAATTGACAATGAAGCAGAGGATTCTTGTCCTGCCTCCATCTAAAAGCTGCCTGAATGGCAAGCCAGGTGGCAGCAGTCCTCTTCTGCAGCAGCCCTGTTGTGCAGCAGCCTGCACCAGCTCATCCACAGCTCTCCAGTGCTTCTTCCACCAGGCACAGAACCACTTCTGCTGCTGCACTGAGGCCTAGCCAAACTGTGGTTGGGCACCTGGAGCCGGCCAAAGAAGATCATCCTCACCCAAGTCAACTGCACGTCACTTAGCAAAGTCAATGAGGATCATCAAAATTATTTTCTTACGTGAGCTATAAAATCCAACAAACCACAGCTAACCACAGTATAAAAAATTCTCAACATACTCTCTATTAATTAATTAATTAATTATAAGTCATCCAGCATTAGAGAACTGCTTACCTTTCTCTGCAGAAAGTTTGCTGACATCCATGGTCTTATTTAGAACCTTAATGGCTAATGCAAGTGCGGTCTTTAAGGTCATTTCTCCTTCTTTGTAGTCTTGCTTCAGCATTGACACAGCTGCCTATGAATTCCACAGAAATTTAAATGGTATCACTGGGCAATCAAACTAAGTTTTTTGCCAGATAATATCAGAACATGAGGAACAGTGTTTCTACAGTTATCCATTTCTGCTCTGCACTCATAATCAAGCACTCGGCTTAATTATTACAGTGTCATTTACATCTTTGAGAGAGAAAAGTAAAAAGAACTTACAGCGCTGTTATTGCCAATGCACGTAGCTTTCCATCCTCCATAATTGCCGCTGGGATCACTTTGATACAGCTGAAATCCATAATGCTTATCCCAACCAATATACAGCAATGAAACACCAAAAGGACGTTTTCCTGTTGGAAGGAAGGCCGTTAGGAACAAGATTGGCCATGAGTGACAATTACTTTCTTTGATTTCCTTTGTCAAATCCGTTCCTGTGAAGTAGGATTTAACAGACCGTTCTGCACTTCTGTTACTTGAGATAAGCATTACAGCATTTCTAAGTGCTGGGGGATGGGAGGCAGGGACAACTAGCAGAAATTGCTTTCATTTAACCCCAGCAGCAGCTTATCTCCGTCTCCAAAAATTGGAATTTATCATTCCAGGACTTCAAATCAAACCTCAGCATTTAAACTACGCAGTGGTTATTATTCAAGCATTTAACTCCTAAGAGTCAATCAAACACAAGTACATTAAAAGGTCATTCTTTCACAGTGCCCATATGCAAAATACCAGAATCACCCATTCATTTACTGAGGAACGCTCCTCACAACATCATTTTCTAATATGGTATTTGATCCACAAAAATACTATTTTTTCCAGTGTTACAGTACTGATACCCTGCTTCTTTCTGAAGGCATTCACCAAACCCAAGAGCACTCAAAGCATTATAGGCAACGGGCCTGAGCCTCAGCTATCAATCCCTCAGTGACTATTTCAGCAGCAAACCAAGAGTTCATAATTTTGATTGACTATTCCCTTAAATTTAGCTACTGCTGTTTCTCGGTGTAACTTGTTACAGAAGAATACCTTTAAACCCTTCAGAGACTTGGATGCTTCAAATTACCTTAGAGAATCTTTCTTTAGACACTTAAAAGCACTACGGTTCATCACACTTCCTTACCTCCAAACTGCGTGTAAGCCTGCTTGATGTCACACAGTGCAGTTACCAACTGCTCGCAAGGAATGGGCTCTTGATACTGTAACAAATACCTATAGCATGAAAGACAAGGGGTCTCAAAATCCTTTTTGACAGTATCCTGCTACCACATTGAACTGAAGAACAAGTTTCTAAATTAAAATAAAACAGATCAGAGAGACTTAAAAAAAAACTACTTGTACTAAGTGCATGTTCATAGTGATTTAACACACAGACTGAACCCAACCTTGGAATTAAGCAAAGCCCCCATAACAACAGGCCAACCTACCTCTGTGCAATCAGCCTCAGCTCATTTGTTAGAACGTTGGCATCTGAAGTTATTCCTGCAACACTGCAAGCCATATCCCTGCAAAATGAACATATGAATTGGATTCCTATCAGTCCCCAAGGAATAGTCACGTCTTCGTACAACACTTCAAACAGAATGCCTGCTGCTGGGCTTCTATGATCAAAACTACACTGCTGCCAGGCAGAACAGATTGATCCTGCATCTAGAGTACATCCTAAGTCTGACATAACCATATTGCAAGAGCAGAGGCAGACAGCGGGAAATGAGCAGGTCAGTGCATCACTGGCATGGTTCTGAGGACCACCAAAATGATTAACAGTGCTGACACCTTCACAAGAAGCACTGGCTACACAGCAGGACCCACACAGAGGCCACCCACCAGCCACATGAGAACCCGTATGGACCCTCAGTGCAATCTGCTGACTCACACTGCATTCGTATGAACGTAACTTAGTGATGCCAGCCATTAGAAAAGTAACTGCTTTAGCTGAAAATCATCTTTGTTTTAATTGTTTCATTAGCTCCTAATTCAGTAGATCTTTGCTAAATCTCATACTGCTACAGAACTTTCAGTACAGACAATAATTCACATTGTTTTATCTTAACAATTTCTCAGAGCAGCTGGCCTAGGCAGCCACTCCAGTGCACATTTTACATCACTGCCTTGAAAATCCACCACTTCCTACAGTTCCAGCTGCCTTCAGGATAACACAGAATGGGAGACTGACAGATGAAAACCTACTCGTGTTTCACAATGCATCTTACAGCAAGGCTTAAATGCTACCTTCCCTACAGGCAAGACAGTCTAACACTGAATCTCTGGAAAAGCTAAAAAGGTCGAAGCAGTGAGATAAGCATCTCTGCTACAACTGTGGCAAAGAAAGCTGAAACAGGTTTTATCCAGTTTGTTTCAGTCTCTTTGAAACACACAAGGAAAAAAAAAAAAGGCTTAAAAGGGAATGCTGAGCCAGCAGTGTGCTCCTGCAGCTCAGAAAGCAACTGGTATCCTGGGCTCCATCAGAAGATGGGTGGCCAGCGGGGACAGGGAGGTGACTGACCCCTCTACTCCGCTCTCGTGAGGCCCCATCTGCAGCACTGCATCCAGGTCTGGAGCCCCCAGTACAACAAAGACAGCTGTTGGAGAGGATCCAGAGGAAAGCCACAAAGACGATCAGGGGACTGGAGCACCTCCCCTATGAGGACTGGCTGAGGAGCTGGGCTTGTTCAGCCTGGAGGAGTGACCTCATTGCAGCCTTCAGTACCTAAAGGGAGCCTACAAACAGGAGGGGAGTCAACTCTTTGAAAGGGTTGATAACTGCAGGACAAGGGGAAACGGTTTTAAGTTGAGGGAGGGAAGATTTAGGTTGGATGTCAGAGGGAAGTTCTTTAAGGAGAAAAGGGTGAGGTGCTGGAACAGCTGCCTAGAGATGCTGTAGATGCAGATTTCTAATGCAGACCAGGATGCTGTTGGCCCTCTTGGCCACCTGGGCACACTGTGGGCTCACATTCAGCTAAGCATCAACCAACACCCCCAGATCTCTTTCCTCACAGTCATCCAGCCACTCATCCCCAAGCCTGCAGTGCTGCATGGGGTTGCTGTGACTGAAGTGCAGGACCCGGCAGTTGGCCTTGTTGAACCTCATCCCATTCACCTCAGCCCAGCGATCCAGCTGATCTAGATCCCTCTGCAGGGCCTCCCTACCCTCAGGCAGATCAACACCACCTCCCAGCTTGATGTCATCTGCAAACTTACTGAGGGTGCACTCAATCCCCTCATCTAGGCCATCAATAAAGATATTAAACAAGATGGGCCCCAGTACCGACCGCTGGGAGACACCGCTTGTAACGGTCACCAGCTGGACTTCACTCCATTCACCACTACCTGCTGGGCACGGCCCTCCAGCCAGTTCCTTCTCCAAAGAAGTGTATACCTGTTGTAGACCTGTCCAGGCAGCAGGCAGCCAGTTTCCCCAGAAGAATACTGTGAGAGACCGTGTCAAAGGCTTCGCTGAAGTCTAGGTAGACTACATCAACAGCCCTTCCCTCATCTACCAGGCTGGTCACCCAGTTGTAGAAGGAGATGAGGTTGGTCAAGCACGACCTGCCTTTCACAAACCCATGCTGGCTGGGCCTGATCCTCTGCCTGGACGCCACGCACATGCTGTGTGATCTCACCCAGCATGATGTGCTCCATAACTTTCCCAGGTATCGAAGTCAGGCTGACAGGCCTGTAGTTCCCCAGATCCTCTTTACAGCCCTTCTTGTAGAAGGGAATCACATTGACAAGCCTCCAGTATTGACCCTTGAGGTCCCTTCTCCAACCCGGCCATTTTGTGATTCTGTGATACTGTGCTCAGATTTGTGCATTCTGTATTTCCCTCCTCTTGTTATTTAACCAATTTAATAGTGATGCAATAACCTTACCTTGTATGGGTAAGTAACAACATGTTATTGCACCTAGGAAATTCTCTTCAGAAATAAAAACATGATGCTTCTTCAGAAGAATCATTGAAGCAAATAATATCAACACAGTCACACACATCCAGAATGCTGCATCACATCAATACAAACCCTCCAAACAAAATAAATCCAGGTCCAACGCTAAAATGCTTGAATAACAACAGTACTTCGTCACGGGTAACGTCAGCAGACATCCAACCAGCATTTCAACTTACTCGTTCAGTCTGTAGATTTTTTCTGAGAAGAAAACTTCATCGAGCAGCTTATGAATGTTGCGCCTCTCCGCAGCCAGCAGAACGCCGTCGTTGGCCAGGATGCCCAAGCAAGTACCTGCATGTCCAATTGCCTCCATGGCGTACTCAACCTGGTACAGACGGCCTAGGAAACGAGTTAAATTGCAGTAAGGCAGCACTGAATGAGAACACATACAAGGAAAGGTGAATTTGCAAGAATTACACACATGCCTGTTTCGCAGTTTAGGACTAGTTCCTCAGGCTGGGGCCAGCAAATGAGTTTTTTCAAACAGAGGATGGAATCAGAAGTGCACAAATTTGAGAAGGTAATCTTGGGCATAGTTAGCATGGGGGAAAAATAATCTGCAGAGTAGATCTACTTCAGAAGAGACAAAATGGGTTAAAAAAAAAAAACTGAGTCATTTATACCGGACATTTTGTCTCTTAAGAAAAAAATTACTTGCAAGTACTAGTGTAACAAGATCACAGCAGCAGCATCAGTAACAAAATAGTAAAAAACTGCATCCACACTCAGAGAAAAGGCAAAGAGTGATGAGTTATTAAGGTGCTTAAAAAAAAAAAAATAGCAGTGGAATTTGGTGTAAATATACAGATGTGAATATGGTCACACCGACACTTGAGTACAAGAACTGGAAAGCCTCCATCCAGGGACTCTGTTGTACACAGAGCTACTGTGACAGGTGAATGTGGTTTGTGCAACTCACACAGAAACACAGAATGGCCCGGGTTGGAAGGGACCTCAAGGACCACGAATCTCCAACCCCCTGCCACATGCAGGGCCACCAACCTCCCCATTTCATACCAGACCAGGCTGCCCAGGGCTCCATCCAACCTGGCCTTGAACACTTCCGGGGATGGACGGGGCATCACAGCCTCTCTGGGCAGCTGTTCCAGCACCTCACCACTCTCACAGTAAATAATAAAATAAACAAGAACTCATACAAGGACGGACACACAGTGCTCCCAACCAACCGGCCCTGTGCTGAACAGCGTTACGTTTGAGAAACGGAATGGAAGGTGTTCAATTAGAAACGTAGGGTCAAAAAGTACCTTCTGGAGAAAATATGGTGGTTCTGGAGTCATATCTTCGAGACTGCAAGAAAGAACAGCTCGTTAAGTATCGTCACCCTCCGCCGGAGCACAGCACCCCAAGAGGAGCAGAGCTCAGAACGGCCCCGTCCAGGTGGGCACTGCCGGTACCGCCCCGCCCGCAGCCCCGCATCGCGCCCACTCACCATGGTGCCGGAGAGGCGGGGCAGCGGGCCTGCAAAACATCACAGCGCGTTAAGGCGAAGCGGGCCATTCCCACACGGCCCCCAGCCCAGAGGAACCCGCCCGACCCCCGCCTGCAGCCTGGGGCGCTCCGGGCCCGGAGTGCGGAGTCATCCTCACAGCGACAGAGGGGGAACGAAAGCCTCGTCGCCCGCCCCGCTCCCTCTGCTCTCACTCCCTCCTCCCCTCGCTCACTCACAGGGTGCCGAGGAACGCGCGATGTGCCGAAGGGTCGCTGAGGTGCAGCCGGCGGGAAGCACTGACCGTTACAGCCTGTCCCACACCTGCACCACAGCGTCGGAAATGGCCGCCGCGCCTGCGCGGTGCGTCACCCGGCCGGAGCGGTGCGCGTCCTTACCACGTGACCGTATCACGTGACCGTAGCCGTGACCGCCTCGGCCCCTTGCGCGCCGCTCGGTGGAAGGACCGGGCCGTGCAGCGCTCCGCCAGCTTTATGGAAAGGGACCTGGGGGTGTTGGGTGATGCTCGACTGAACGTGAGCTAACAGTGCGCCCAGGTGGCCAACAGGGCCAACGGCATCCTGGCCTGCATTAGAAACAGCGTGGCCAGCAGGAGCAGGGAGTCATCATCTCCGTGTACTCAACACTGGTGAGGCCACACCTCGAGTATTATGTTCAGTTTTGGGCCCCTCAGTACAGGAAAGACATTGAGGCCCTGGAGCGTGTCCAGAGAAGGGCAACGAAACTGGTGAGGGGTCTGGAGCACAAACCTTATGAGGAGTGGCTGAGGGAGCTGGGATTGTTCAGTCTGGAGGAGGCTCAGGGGAGACCTCATGGCACTCTGCAACTTCCTGAAGGGAGGTTGTGGTGAGGAGGGGTTTGGCCTCTTCTCCCAGGCAACAAACAAGACCTGAGGAAATGGCCGCAAGTTGTACCAGAGGAGGTTTAGGTTGGACATAAGGAAGAACTTTTTCTGTCAGAGAGTGGTCAGGCACTGGAATGGCTGCCCAGGGAGGTGGTGGAGTCATCGTCCCTGGCAGTGTTCAAGAGGCATCTGAATGAGGAGCTGTGAGATACAGTTTAGTGATTGCGGTAGCAGTGATAATGAGAAGACAGTTGGACTAGATGATCTTGCAGGTCATTTCCAACCTTGCAATTCTATGATTCTATTGCAGCCCCACCTCACGGGGCTGCCTCACATACGCCGCGGCCGTCTCAAACCACGTCTTCTCCACCGCCTCCTGGCCCAGCGCATACATGTCCATCAGGTGCCTCCACCCCGTCCTGGCGGTGACCATGAGATACTCCATGTTCTCTGGGTGCAGCAGAGCTGTGTGCGCCGCCATGACGAGCGACTGCGCGAAGCGGCCGCTCACCAGCAGGAACAGCGCTGCCCGCTCTGCGCCCGTCAGCGGCAGCACGCTCTCGAAGCCTGCCAGGACGTGTCCACCCACACCAAGAGGCTCCGCACTCTCCACCATCATGTACATGATGGCGATGGCCGCCTCGAACACGTAGCAGCCGTAGCTCATGTCGCTGAAGTCCAGCACGCCTGACACGCAGTACTGCGGGGCCGCCCCGCGAGGGGAGCCAGGAACCACCAGGATGTTGTGGTCATTGAGGTCCCCGTGGTTGACACCTAAAAGCACAACGAGAAACGCTATTTAATAACTGCATTCTGTTGGCATTGACTGCAATGGTATTTAATAACTGCATTGTATTGGTATTGACTGCCATGGTATGTATTTAATAACTGTAAGCCAGCTGCGTTGGTGCGCCTGTTTCCTGGAACAAACTGCAGCATGATTGAGAATAAAACACTCACAAGCTCGAAAACTGCTTATCTTGGGTGTGACTTTCTCTTTGAACTGCTGGATGACCCACTGCACAACGTCTCGGTGCTCCTTCTGGCCCAAGGCATCCACATACTGATCCAGAAGAGGGACGTTCGCCAGGTTCCAGATGAACTGATCTCGATGCAGACTTCCTACTGATGGATGATGGAATTCCTGCAGAAAGAGAACAAAATAGGCCATAAATTAAAATTCATACTTCATCCCAACAAGCAGAAGTAGAATCTGAAGGATTATTTCATCATAAAATGGCCTGGGTTGAAAAGGACCACGATGCTCATCTGCTTCCAACCCCCTGCTGTGTGCAGGGTCACCAACCAGCAGACCAGGCTGCCCAGAGCCACATCCAGCCTGGTCTCGAATGCCTCCAGCGATGGGGCACCCACAACCTCCTTGGGCAACCTATTCCAGTGAACAGTAAGATAGGCAAGCCTATCAATATCTCCATAAAACCTGAATGTTTTTTCTCCATTCTTCCAGTATAGATTATCCTAAACCCTTTGTTGCTGAATCACTTAAAATCAATGGTGACTTCCTGCAGAGTGACAGGGATGCTGCTGCACAGAGGCCTTGCCAAGGCTGCAGTCACACAGCTGGATTCTGCAGCTGGTGCTACAGAAGCTGTTGGAGCAGAAGAGACAAAAACTGCCACAGATGCACTCTGTGCATTTAAAGAGTTGAGCCTGAGAATCATCTGACATGTGCAATGTCATTAAGACAGGAGTGCTTGGCAGAGCTGCTAGATGGAGCTTTGTTCTTGTAAAAATGTGTACAGGCTCTCAAACATCCATCCAGTACACAGAGACCCCAGCAAACAGCCCCATGTGTGCTTCTCACTTCCCGTGAGCAGTTGGCTCCTCTTAAAGAGAAACTCAGGTTTAGAATTAAGGCTATTAGTTAAAGGTAGCTAAATGATAGTTAAAACTGGAACTCATGTAGAAGTAAGGAACAACACCAAGCCCAAAGCAAAAATCACAACAGAGGATCCCTAATGCTGTACAGAAGACCATGTTGGTAGGTAGACTGCCATTTGGTGAGCAACCACTGCAATTTTCCCTGCACAAATTAACACAGAACTACAAAGAGATACCAGATGTGGGAAAGGCAGTAAAGCAGAGATCTCAGCAATTGCTTGAGCCTTTGTCGCTGTCAAGTCATCGATAGCTGCTTATTTCCACTAGAAGATGTGAGACACATTCAAGCAAAAAAAGACAGCAGAAAAAGGAAGTGGTGCAATGATATTTTGTGCACAAAAGAACACACGGCACATGGCCTTGCTGCCCAGCTGACAAAGCAAATTGACTGGACAGAAAAGACAGGCTGTACATTCCCATCTGCCATCAGAAAATGTAATGCCTTAGCTTTAGTTTTGGTGTCAATGACATTGAGAAGTTTTGATGGTAAGAACTGTAGTATTCTCTCCCTTAGATGACAAATCTTGGTACGTGATAATCCATATATTAATGGCTTAAGAGCCTTTTCCATCAAAATTTGCTTTCTTGTCTACTAAATCCTCCTCGCAGGAGAAGTCACAGGCATCTTTTGAGACTAGCTGGCCCATATACATTATTTTAATCACATTATCAGAGCACAGCCAGACTATTAAAAGGCAATAGTAAGTTATCTTTCCCAATGGAAAAACACCGTTGTAATTTCAGAATGTGGTGAGTGAAGCTAGCAATTCACACTTCATAACTGTCTGAAGGCAGTAGCCAGAACACAAAAAGAAAAGGTTAATGAAAGGCCATAAATAATGCAGGAATTCTTTTATGTATCTAACTTAATTACTGGATGATTTATCAGTTTTATTACCCCGTATAATTACAGAGTACAGAAATAATCTCCTATGCATTAAGATTATTTGACTGAAAGCAGGGGAACTCAGAGAAGTGTCACACATCTCTCTCCATTAACACAGCTGGCATTACAGAAAAGGAAATGACTGCTCCTGCTGCAGCAATGGTCACTGTCCTAATGGCCAGGAGGAACAGAGCAAGTCAAAGTGAGTTCAGAAGAGAAGAAGGGCCAGCAGTACCCAACAAAAGCATTTAATGCTTCGGAACCACGCTGTGCGTGCTCTGATTCAGGCAGCTAGGGTTCACTCTCCTTATTTACCAGGCTTCAAATGCCAAACAGGTGAGTTCTGTGTGAGCAAGAATAAATGCAGTCTCCCTTACTGTGGTACAAAAAAGCACTGCAAAAGGATCACTGAGACTCTGCTATAAGCAGTGAGCGGTCAGGTTCGTCAGGTTACTTGGGGCAAGGTTTTAACCAGTTTTACAGCATGCAGGGTGGCATCCAAAAGTTGAATTAAGCTCTGAAATCACCAACTTCTGTTTTAAAATCAGGAAAGCTGACAGAGAACAGTAAGAAACAGAGAGGAGAAATGAAATGTGAATGAAATCTGCGAAGTCGGAACAAGAACTCACTCACCTCTGTGAGAGCTTTATCCAAACTGGCAGCTAGCTTACCAATATCATACAGAAGCTGAGTTGGTGCAGCAATTTTAGCCACAGGTGTGCCCGGCAGATAAGTCAGCAGTCTGACCATGTACTTTTTGTTTCCAGATCCGCTACCTGACAAGCAGAGATAGTCAGTCACTTCAGCATACTCTACTGAGTGTTACTTAATGCAAGAGGCAAACGGTTTCTTCACTCTCGGATGCGACTGATAAAACTGATCTCACTCAAAGACTTGATTTACCAGAATGTGCAACAGTGATGTGCAAACCTTGCCACAGCTGCAGGCTGTGCTGGATGCCTGGTCCTCGTGCTTGGAATTAACCCTGCACACAGCAGCTTTCACTCAGTGCCTCCAGCCCCTCGCCTGCAGAGCTCTGTAGGTGCCCTCAGGAATCCCAGCTTGTGTATGGAAGCAGTGAAAACGAAAGCAATGTGTTACAAGTTTTCTTCCAGGCACTGTTTAAGCAGTTTATTCAGGCATCAGATCATAGATGGGCTGGAACTGTATTTTACACCATTCTGTGCACGGACAGGCAAATCATTTATATTGTGATTTAGTCAGTATGGTTTGTTATTTTTAAGTGCACAGATACGTCTGTTTTTTCAAATTATATGGAAACTGTTTTCAGAGTTAAGTGTTCCTTGGCTGCAGAAGTTTGGACTTTTTGTGAAGTTTGGACTTTCACAGGCAGTCACCTGACACCTGACCATATCCATCTCTGAGAGCTATACTGCAACCTGAGCTTCTACTTTTGATAGCCAAATTTACTTTAATTTTGGAGACTCCTTCTGTGCAATTTTGTCACGACTACAACCCGTACTACATCTAAACTGTCAACTTAAAACAACTTTGGATGAATAGACCCAGAGAACCTATCAGGGCAATTCAAGTGAAAAAGCAGCTGCAGGATAACCCACCCTTCCCTGTGCTTGTAGTTCTTACTAAAACAACCATCTTCCCACTAGCAATTCCAGCAGTGAGCCATCCTGCACCCACCTCAAACCACACCTGCAGGAGCTTGCTGCAGTGCTGCTGCTCTTACTCTGCTCAAGGTCCAGCATCTCTGCTGGCTTTCCTACACTACACAGGGCATTGGATGGAGCTCAGCTCTGGCATTCTGAGCACAGTATCTGTGCACCCCAAAGTTACTTCATCCGAGAAATCCTAGCTCAGAAGCTGAAAGGGAGGTGTGCAGCGGATTGGGATCTACAGGAAGTGCCAGAGCTGCAGGGCCTGGGAAATCACCAGCCTTCTGCATCTTGCCTGAGCTCGCTCACAGGTGCCCAGCGTTACTCCACGTTTGTGCCAGCACAAGAGGGCGGGATCCAGAAGCGAGGCAGACCTGCGCCGTGACGAGGCGCTCGCTCACCGCCAGGCGCGGTCGTGGAGCCGCTCACCTGCCCGCAGGGCCATGATGCTGCCGTCCTTCGTGAGCCGCGGCGTGGCCGCGGGGAAGCCGCGGGCGCTGAGGAACACCATGGCCTGGGTCTGCGCCTCGATGAGGGCGGGCTGCCGGCTGTCTTCCGAGTTGGTGATCTTGAGGACGTACTCCTCGGCCCCTTCGGCCTCGCCTCCGCTCGAGACTCTCACGTGGAAGTTCTGATCGTCATAGCTGGGCAGGGGCCTGACCCACGCCGCCTTTAATCCGAACACCTCGGCCACCAGCTCGGCCACCTCGTCCTCGCCGAAGGCTGGCTTGGCGGCTTCCCGCTGGCGGCGGTCTCCGGAAGCCATCGCGTCTGTGAAGAAAGAGACGAGAAGAGGCGAGCCGTGCCGTGCCGCCGGCGGCAATCGGTAACGGTCGCAGCAAACCAACCACCGAGCCAGCCCCGTTCTCCCCCAGCGCTCGGAGCCGCGCGGACCTTTGCCCTGCCCGGCGGAGCGCCCGCTGCCCGGCCCGGCCTCCCCCGCGAGCGGCCCCAGTGAGCAGGAGCCGCCGGACCTGCGCCGTCCGGCCGCGAGCGGCCAGCGCAGCGCAGCCGCCCCGAGGGGGGAACGGTGGTGGCCGGAGCTCGGCGGCAGCCCCGGGGAAGGGAACAGCGCGGCTTCCCGCCGGCAACAAAGCGCCTGGCGGCAAGCGCTCCCCTACCGGCCCACAGCGGGGCTGCGTGCAGTACGAGCGCGGAACAACGCGGGCCCCTCTGCCTCGGTCGTTTACCACAACCGAAGCCGTGCTCGGCCCGCAGCGAGCCGGGCTCGGGGCTGCCGCCACGGGCCGAACCCCGAACCCTCGGAGCGAAGGGCGGGCGGATCTGCGAGCAAGCAGCAGGGCTGAGCTGATGGAAAGAGCTCTGCGGTTACCGACACCGCCTCCAGCTCCTGGCATTCCGTCGGTCTGAAACAGAACAGCATTCTGGCCGTGCCTTAAAACGTGCCCCGGGCTACAGCCAGCACGGAACGGGACACAGCTGCGGCGTTACAGACCCACAACCCCTGCAGCATCGCCTTTGTCTCCCGGCCGCACCGCCACCGCTCGGGAGGTGGGCGCTTTCTGTGCCCGCCCCGCACGGCGCTGCGTCGGTCGGCTGAGGCAGGGAAGGTGCTATTGGTGCCTCTCCGATCGTTACGGTAACGAAGGCTTAAATAACTGAGCGGACGTGGACGCAAGTCTAGTGCCGGGTCTAAAAGGCACGTGTAGAAGATAGGCAGCTGTCAGACAAAACCCCCATCAATTTTTGCAGATCCTACCACTACCTGCCATCAAACATAACCCACACCTGATCTACATTCTAAATGAGAGCAGACATTTTCCTGAAGGAAAAATACACATATTATTGCAAGGCAAAATGACTGATAGAATATCCAGAGCTCAGCTAATTCAGAAAGTTTCCTTCTAAACCAATAAAGCACACTTTGGAAACCATCCGAGAGATGCTCCTACTGAGCAAATCCACTGAATGCACCCTTTTCCTTGCTCCCCCCCAACTTCATACATTCTTACCAGTGCCATGTTAGTATCAGTCCATGCCTCCTATTCACAACATATGGTGACATACAAGAACTGTGATACAATTTTCTTTATTAAAAATAATTTACAGTATCAGTAACATTTTATGCACAATTGTCATCAGCTGAACTTCTGGTAAGATATCTATACAATACACACTGAACTTAAAACTTCAACTCTTTTGTTGGCTTTGAACAGCAGACATTGATTTGCAGTTGCTTAAATACGATTAATATACAGAATTTCATGTCCTTAAACTTAGGTGTAAAATGTATAAACATCAACACTATCCCAAAGCTTGGTCATTTGGGAGGGCACAAAGAGTAAATGCTTAGAAAAACTGGAATATTCTTCTCCAAATCAAACTGGAGAGAGAATTCTAGGTTAAATACGTCTAACACAGTCACTTCTTCAAACAGGAGCATTTCCTCCTATGCTTTAAGATACTAGAAAGTCTAATTGAACAACGCTTTTTTTGTGTGATCACAGCAATCCTCTGCCTGCATTGTATCCTGCCACTGCCAGAAGCAGGCTTCCCTGCTGCCCATCCCAAGCTCACAGATCCTAGCAGTGAGCTCAAAGTTCAACGTCCTGCCTTCATTGCCAAGCTACTGACCCGACCTGACGGCACTCCCTGCTGCACAAGGGGAGGGGGGCAGGCACACGACCATGGATCATGGCAGCTCACTACTGGGCGAGAAGCACAAGATGGGTACATTAACAGTTCCCCCCAGCACCTACCACCTGCAGGCATACGTGTCCTAAGGGTGGGAGTCAGTCTGCACAAGTCACAAAGATGCTACGGGCATCGGTGTGGTTGGGACAGGACCCACAGCAGCCACAACAGCAGGAACCTCCAGGTTGACAGCATCTGCACTCAGAGCTGTCTTTCACTGACATTAAGGCATAGGAGTGCAGCAGATTTTAAGTAGTCACTACAGTAATGAAACCATCACACTTCTGAAGAGATGAGTATTGGTGGCAATAACTCTAAGACACAGCCCTTGAAATTGCACTTCACAATACTGGTTTACCTTGACATGGCTTGGATCACTGTCTCCTGAGGCAAGGAGCGTCACTGCACCGGGAGGGCAGGAGGCTGAGCCCCACTCAAGCACTAGCAGTTGCACAAGTATTCTAGATAGCCCTGCAGCTGTACTTCATTGATCTCCTGCACAAAGCACCACTGTGCATCAGCTCTAAAATCAGATCTGTTCCTTAGTAATGAACGTGCATTTTCTTCAGTTATGAATATACCTTTGAGCTGGAAAAGAAGTATTAGATGCTGTTAGACAAGTAGCGAGATCTCAATTCTTGATAAAATTACCAGAATGTACCACAGAACAGAAACCCATCCAGCATTCAGTTGAATACAGTATTAGAAAATGCATTGATGTATTACCCATATCAGTGGTATGAGTCACTGGAATAGTTTTTCTCATCTCAGCTAAAAGAAAAACACAGCAAGATTATTGGAACAGGTTATATAGAATTCCAAACCGTACAGAATTTTGTCTAGCAAAAAAAAGGTATCAGAACTATGCCAATGGAACTGAAGTTTGCAGCTGAACTGTCTCAAAATTATGTTGTATTGATCTAACTGTGTCAGGGTTTATTTTCCAGATTTTTAGGCATGTCATAAACATACTATTTAAGGATGCCAAGAGTGCACATGTTGGTTTGCACGTCAGCTGGCTTAGCTTCTAGTTATAGACTGAAAACATGCAGTAAAACTAATGGAGTCTTCTGGCAAGTCAGGACATTTAAGACAATGTTTATCAAGATCCAAAAATCTAAAAGCAAAATCTTGCCAATTCATAGCAGGTTTCTGCAGCTTTGTCCTCCAAAAGCAATCCATCACTCTACAAACAGAAGTGCTATCATGAAGCTGCTCAAGATACAGGAGCACAGAAATACCTGAAGCTATCAGAAAAGACAAACTGGCACAGATCAGAAGCTCTCAGTGACCAAGCTAAGTGGTAAAACAAAAGCATTTCTGCAGAAACTGTGCATCTTCCATTAATGTTAAATACAAAACAGTTTTTATAAGCAATAATAATTTGATTTAGTGGAGCTGCAGTCGCCAAGAGCCAAATCTGTTCAGTATTCTGTGATCTTCAGCAGGGGAATCTGATGCCTGTTTGGAAGGGCTGCAAACAAAAAAAACCATTCCAAAGCATTAAAAGGCAGCATGGCTACCTCAGCAATTTAACATGTGACAAGTGTAACTGATTAGACATAGGCTGCATATAAAGCAGAGTAATTAAGGAGTCGTAATACAAATTCTTAAAGGTTAAAATACTGAGGGAAATTCTCTGGCAAGTGATATCAGACAATACAGTAAAAAGCAATGCTACAAAGGACAAGCTTGAGGAAGAGATGACAAAGCTCTCAACTGAAGGACACTGCAGAATGCTGGGGGGCTGCACTTCAACACCAGCCACGTACTGTGGGCATTCTCTTACAAGCAGAGATATACTTCTATAGCCAACAGCACTTCATGGGTTGATCACTTTTCCATCTGGATCCAGAAGGGATATAATTCCATACAATAAATGGGACACAGGGGGCCTTATGTGCCCATCATTTTAAAAGCAAGACATTCGAAACTGAAGATCTATTTTGAGCTCTGGATGCCAAAAAAGCAAACCATCCGTCTGTTTGCCCTTTAACCTTCCATACCATCTGCTACGCTTAAACCAACAGCAGTACACAGATTTACAGGTGCAAAAACTAAGTGGAAACAACTGCAGAAAACCTTCTTACATAATAATCTTCAGCACAATCGGTTTGAGATTTCACACGGTTTATTTACAAAATGGTCTGAGAAAACATCCCCTCCATACTTACAGCTCTCTCTGCCATAACACACGTCGATTTTAGCAATGTTTAATAGCACCATTAGAATATTATTTAAAATCAGGAAGGATCTTGCTGCAGTTACAATGATTCACAATCTTTTACATCCATGGACGAAGTAACTTAGAGCACACTAGGGCTGCCTGCAGTTCCACAGTACAGATTCCTGGGTTCACACAAGGCATTTTCAGAGTTACCAGTTAGTGCGAGGTACCCACAGTCAGTAGCTACTATAAGAATCTTCGAGCCACAAAGTTTAGACTTCCACCATTTTTGTATAAAGTTACCTCCACGTCGTTGTCAAACAAGGCAAACACGCTGAACACTTTCCCAGTGCTTGTCTTCAAAACAAAAGCAAAGAGACACCCATTAGGAGCTTCCCTTTCACTTCCCTTTACTTACTTTCAGTTAGCACATTAGAAGCAAGTTCTGCCTAACACAAACTCATTCAATCTGATTATCTGCCACTGCACAACACAGACACTGCTAGGAGCAGAATGAAGACTTCACCCAACAACACGGTTTTGATCCGGTTGAAACTGTGCTACACACCTACTGTTAGCAAGAAAAACCTACTTCCCTACGAGGGCACAAAGTACTACCATACAGATACCTGACACAGGATACAAAACTGAAGCCTCCCTCAACTAATTGTGCCTTTGTCTTCAGAAGGACACAAATGAGACTCAATTCTGCTCTAACACAGCGCCCATAATTGCACTTCAGTACAAACTTCAGGCCAAACTATCAGTTTACTTTCAAAGAAGATGAAGTATTTTTTCCTGCTTCCAATCATCAGGACCGAAAGCACAAGTTAACCATAAGTGTGATCAATAAGAAATTCAAAGATACTGCAGATATACCTTAATATCCAAAGTCATTTTGGGCGACAGCTCTGGAGGGAATAATATAGAGAACTGCTCTCTGCCAGTGAGACCCAAAGTATTTGGATTTTCTCCAGGAAGAAACTGAAGTGGAGCTATGCCAATTCCAATCAATTGACTTTTATGGACTTTTTCATAGCTTTCAGCTAGGACAGCTTTAACACCCTGCAAAGATACAAGCAATTCTGTATTTCAGTACAAAGTTAAATGCAAAAGTGAGCTTCAAATATTTTTATGTAGAAAGTCCTGCAGTTCAGGCATATAAGCACTTTGTATGAAGCCTGCAAATAGGGAACATTCTAGCTGTAAAACTAGACAACAGCAAATAAACCTCAACAGACCCAGACAGTATGAAACAGTTTCAGAATGCACAGTGACTGTGCTGTAGCTGACAGGGAGCAAGCCCCAGCTGGAATACAGCTGCTTCCTTTATTCCAGAGCTGTACAGAAATAACTGGCTAACTCAGAACATATCCTAAGTATTACTGGAAATTAGTTTATTATTAAAAAAACTCTAAAAACCTCTAAATACTCTGCAGAATCCAATCAGAGTCCAGCTAAGTTACCTAAGATGTCTAAGTTACCTCAAGAAGTCTGGAGGCCTAAATGATCTCACATGGTCATCAAATTCAGAGCTACCCTTCTGACCAGTCATTCTCTTCCATGAAGTCTTTAGCATAAATTACTGTTAAGTAAAATGCAGGATTGCATTCAACCTTGAATACAGGCTCTAAATGTTTATGCTCCAAATTAAACATTATAAAGATATTTTTAGATAATAAAAGACCCCACAACACCAAAAACCACAGATATCAAAAACCAAACTAGCAGTACCAGTAGAAAAGGCCCTTTTGCTGCCCAGTCTCTTGAGCTGCCCAGTCCGTACTTCTTTCCTGCTAAAATAATTACAGGAATGCCTTCTTTCTGGTACAATTCCGCTGCTTCAAACACATCTAGCTGTGGAACAACAAAATTAAACAGCCTGAGTGAGTGAGATCTTAATCCGTATCACAATTTTGAAGCAGCTTCTTATGTTCTTACCGTTTGTCCTGATGGAAAGTGAATTGTTTTAGGAGCTGGTTTTCCTATGAACTTGTTCAGAAGCTTGATATTAGCAAATGTGCCCCTTGTCATCACAGCATCATTACCCCGCCGAGCCCCATACGAGTTGAATTCACGAGGTGTGAGTCTGAAATAAGAACATTTAAGAAGGAAACCACTTTTTCATTTGCTTTAAAACAGTGCTTTCATTTGCTTTCCAACAGTACTGTGATTACTCTAAGTACTGCAGCATCACTCAAAACCACTAGGTTATCAGCACAGGATGTAAAGAACTATTTATCAAATACAATCATTATAAATCATGAACACGTAAATAATTGCTAGATTATTCATAAGCAAAGCTCCAATTTTAAATGCATCATCTATTACTTCATTATGAAGCATTATGAACAGTACGGTGCTTACAGAAGAATCATGCAGCAATCATTCCAGCTCAGGAGTTGCCACAGTAAAGCAGTGTGTTTACTAATCCCCTAGCAGCATGTGTACCAATAAACACTGCCAACAAAAGTCACAGCCTTACTCAAATCAAATGACGAACTTAGGAGTAAAGGTTTATTAATTTTTCCCTTTCCTGTAACACTACTCATTCAAATGGAATGCAAGTTAGGATCAGTCTGTACTGCAGGCTATTGCTTTGTCACACTCCATTGACACTGATTATAATACTCCTTTACAACACGCCCAGCAGTGGTAAGGCCAAACCTCAAGCACTATGTTCAGATTTGGGCCCATCATTACAAGAAGAGCATTGAAGCCCTACAGCATGTCCAGAAGAGAATAACAGAGCTGGGAGGAGTCTGTGAGGAGCAGCTGAGGGCGCTGGGACGGGTCAGCCTGGAGAAGAGGAGGCTCAGGACAGAGCTTACCCTTTGTTAGTCAGGTACTTAGCAGCAGCACTGCTCCTTGCAATGCTTCCAGCAGGAGATATGTGATCTGTGGTTACAGAATCTCCCAAATAGAGCAAGACATGGGCATTTTCAATCGGCTGCGGGGAAACCGGGTCTTTGGCCTGGGGAGGAAGGAAAACAAAACGTTTTTTTTTTTTCCCACTAAGAGCCTTAGAAACAAAAATATTTCTGCAAATGTTAAGACACATGGATACACAGACTCAACTTATTCCAGATATACAAACAGTATTTAGAGGACTGAGAAATACTATTGATGATAAAATCTATTACTTATATGGTGAGGTGTGACTGGAATAGCTGCTCCTTTTCTAGTACATAGTGGTAGACCCAGCATACTCACAAGTTTATCAAAGAAGGAAGGACATCTGATATAAGTGGATTTCAAGTCCCAGGGAAATAAAGGTGACTCAGGCGCTTCCAGTGAATTCCATCGTTTGTTTCCTTTCTATACAGAAGTAACCAAAACCAGAGATATTGATTTATGGCCTACTTACATTCTGAAAATGAAGACTTACTGGTGACCTTCTTTTGAGCTTGTTGTATGTTACAAGTTATCTTTCTGGATAGCATTAATACATGGTATGCATATCAGTCAAATTCTGATTTAATGTAATGGAAACAAGAGGCAATCCAATTATATTCAAGTGGAAAACATTATAAAGCAACAATGCAGTGCACCATTTAGAATAAAAGACCATTCTCACCTCCATTTTTTCTTTCAATTCCTTAAACATAGATGATATCACACACTCTTCCTCCACCATGTGTAGTTCTTTCCGCGTGGGCCAAATATCCCTTAAGTAGATACTTCTGCCACCAAAGCCAGTGCCTGAGCAAGGTTTTAAGCAGAATGCTAATGAAGTCTTTAAGACTATTACTGTACATACATTCATATATGCAGACACACACACAGCTTTTCAGAGAACTGTATCTGAAGAGGATTTTTTTTTTTTTTTTTTAACTACAACAAAGCTTGCTGTGCTTTCTCTTTAAATGCAATGTTATGTACACTGAAATGCACAGGAAGAAACCCCTTCTAGGCATGCATTAGAAGCAGAAATGTGAGAGGTAAAGAACACTCACCCAAAGGCTCAGTCTCGAAGTCTATTCTAACAGTGCCTGCAATAGCATACGCAACTACCAGTGGGGGAGAAGCAAGGTAGTTGGCACGGACACAGTCGCACAGACGTCCTTCAAAGTTCTTTGTTCCAGACAGCACTCCACAGGCAATGATTTCACCCTGCAAGGCAGGACCATGTTATCCTCCAGCACCTCATGGTACCACAACAGCTTACGTGAGTTTTTGTTGACTGAGATGCACTTCTTGCATTCCACTTCAAATACGTAATCTAAACCTTCAACACAAAGGCGTTTTGTTCTCTGGTGCTGTCCTTCCTTCTCCCATGAAGAGCTTCTAAACTTTTAGCAGATGTGCTCCCTAGCCACTTCAGTGAACTCCTGCCTTAGTTCTTATATCCTTCTACTGTTTCATAGGAGAAAAATGCTGCAGCTGTTTACACACTGCTGATACAAAGCAGTCCAGGACATAAGTCTTGAAAATCCCTGCACATTACATCCTTTCTAAGATTAGGTTCCATGTATTCATGTTAGCGTTGATATCCATATGCCACACAGACTGTACTTGTTACACCTATTTCACACAGCTACTGTTGTCTCCCTCTGAAAAGCAGATGCCTAACATCACACCACAGTCCAAACCAGGAACAAAAAGCTTTTTTTACACAGAATACTGCATCTCTTGATCAGTTAGCAGGGCAAGATGTTCCTATACCCCATAAGCCTTAGAGCTCTACCTGCTTTATTGCACTCCTGATGGCTTCTGGAAGGGGAGCAGTGTTTCCAACACACGTTGAACATCCATAACCAACAACCTCAAACCTACATTGGAAAAAAAATAAAGTAGCACATTAAAAGATGAAGAGCAATTTGTCAGGTTTGTTTTTTTTTAAAGCAGTAATCACTAAGAGTTTTTCTTTTCCTCATTTGGTAATTCGACTTTCTAGGAATTGCATTCCAGACACTGCATCTGATGAATACAGGCAAGTTACAAGGTGATATTCCTGTAACCACCAACTTAAACCAAGTCAAATATTTCTGTTCAGCAAGTACTGGTAACACAAAGGCAGCAACATTCTTCACAGAGTAATCCTGTAACACTGCACAGCTGTATGGACAGTGTAATTGTTACAGCTACTGAGCAACCAAAAGCATGCCCAACAACAACACGGGCTGAACACTAACAGACCACCCTTAAGAATTCATATCCAGCTTCCATTTCTGAAATACAGGACTAAGTGCATTCTGTGAAAGCCACTTACACACACAGCTTGTTACTGAAAGCCAGAGTTCAGCTAAGGTAAAGATGAAAGATCATGAAGTTGTAAGGTAGGAATAAAATGGAGTGAAGCTTAACTTCAACCAAACACAAAATTAAAAAAGGATAAACTAGCAAACTTGTGAATTAGCCATCCCAAAAAGCAGAGCAAGTGTATTTACCAACCTGTACAAAACCCACATATACTATTTTCTAGAGATCCAAACAGGAATCAAAACTTACCCAAGCTTACTGAGGTATGGTAATACTCCACTGGAACTGAGGTAATGTGTAACCATTCCACTGCCTGGTGACAGACTAGTTCTTATGTAGGGCTTCACCTCTAGGCCAGCTTCAACTGCCTTTTTGGCCAGGAGTCCTACAAAAAAAGACAATTCATATTTTTATGTCCCTTAAAAGAACATTTACATTATGCTAGCTTATTCAGCTGGGACCTTCAGTTTATTAAGTTGAAGCAACGACTTGTGAATAAAGTTACTTAATTCATAGCAATATAATTCAGATTTCTGTTCTCACTCCTATTAAATATTTTGTTACATTTTCTGTAACAAATTTCACCACATTCTAGCTGGCAGTCAGCACTGCACTGTCTGCTCCTCTACTGACACAGGCCACACAGCTTCAGAGGAAAGCTTGCCTGAGCCACAGAAGGAAAACAGTAAGGTCTGAGCAGATTTGGGGAAAACCAGCCACAGCTTATGATGGGAGGGCACCAACTCCTCAGCTAGTGATAAAGGCAAAGGGCAATTTTTCAGCAATCTGGATTTTCTCTCCACACTGCTGCTACCCATAGCGTTCAAGCCATTAGCATCCAGATGAAGGCAAAGCTAAAGCCAAAGCCTACCTCCTGCCACAGCTGTGTCCATACGTGCATCCACTTGAAGACAGCCCTAAAACTTATCTGTAAAAATGCTACCAAATAATTTTGGAATTACTGTTATTAATGCTGCTTTATGACACAAACTTTGAGATTGTATTACTGGAGAGAAACTTGCAGTGCATAACCTCCAAAACACAAAGGTTTAAAACTACAAGTCTACTGTGTGACAACCTGAGGTCATTACAGAGAATCTACAACAGTGAAGGCAAATAATGGCAAAACAAGGCACAGTTAGCTTCTATCAGACACAACATACCTGCAGCAAGCATGACAGATGGATTGCAGTTATTTGTACAGCTGATTACTGCAGCAATGACAACACAGCCATGAGAGAGCTCGTATTGGTTTCCTTCATACTGAACAGGTACAACGTCATTCTGTTTTTCAGCTGCAATCTGAAACCCTTTAACACCAGCCTAGGTAACAAAAACACGCATTAGCAAATATTCACAGGCTCAAAGAATCACAGGATGGCTTGTGTTGGAAGGGACCTTAAGAATCATCAAGCTCCAACCCCCTGCCCACAGGCAGGGCTGCCAATCTCCATCCAAACATTGCACTACACACAGTATGACAGTGCAGGCAGATGAAGCAAATCTTACTTTAGAGGAATATTCAGCTGTCCCACAGGAAGCCTTCAAGAGAATTTTTAAAAAGCCCTCAGTTCTCCTCACTTATCACATACACAGTGTTCTTCCTTCTTCATAATTACGTTAACTGCAACAATGAATGTTGCCAATGAAAAATGCCAGTCAAAGCGTGGTTGGTATCACACACACTTCCTGCTACAAATGAAAGATTAAGCCCTTAAGAGTAGACATCTGATTTCATAGATTTTTTCTGAATTGGAGCCATTCCCAAGGCTTTATTTGGAAGAGGACTGCAACTAAAAGCAGAATGAACTCTCCAGCCCCTCAGCACTGTCGACCATCATCAGCTATGATCTGTCCCCACCACAACAGACCATTCTGTATCATACATCTCACCACAAGCCAGAAAGGCTAAAGCCAAGACAGAATTTTGAAATTAAGTGGAAACATTTCTGATCTAAAGCTATTGCTAGACTTCAATTTTAATGAGGAACACTAAAAAAAACCACACTAATTCTTACATCAGCTGTACTCTTAGATGCCTATGCATCTTACTTACAAAAAAAATGAGCTTAAGAGTGCTCTCTGAAGTGAAGTTGAGCTACAAGCAAAAATCCTTTATTAGTTACGGTAGATGAAAGTAGTTAAAAACCTCTAACAGTGGGTACTTCAAATCCTGGAAGTATTTCTGCATCTCTTAATACAAGATGATTTTTCTTCTTGTAATGTTTGTGAAAATAAGTGTTTAAAAAAACTAAGAAAAAATTTAAAAATATACTCTGAACTTCCACTAGTTAATTCTGATGTTTTCCCTCCCTGGCAACCTAAATTGGCCAAGTAAGGACTTTCCAGTGTCACATTTATGACAAGGTACACCTAGGATTTACCAGCTACTACCTTAGGGACTCTTGTCAAGCAATAGAAGACTTCAGGTTATCTGTTCACATAGTAATAACTAGAGCTCAGCAGGTGTGCAGGGAATAAATAACATTTATGTGGATTTTAAGGAGTACCTTTTGAAGAGTACAGCAGTTGTACAAACCTTTTCATTTAAGCAGGTTTGGAAGTCACTTTTCATGTTACTGACAGCCACTCTATCTTGGGATCTCTTGGGGCCACTGACATGAGGAATTATAGAACTTAAACTAATTTGCACTACCTAAAAAAAAGACAAGTAAAAGAGAAAAGCAGGCATTGTCAGTCCCAGTTTCACACTGTATTGAATGTAGAGATGCTCAGAATGTTTTGTTTAAAATGCCAGTGTTTTGAGACATTAAAACCAGCCTCCAGTTCCAAGCTGTTACACTGCACCAGGCTGCTGGTCACAGGAAAGCCCAGGTTAGGAGGCACCTCTGAGATGGAACCCAGCCTTCCATTGTAAAAGCAGCCCATTCAGCCAAACCCTCAAAAGGTTCTTATTATTACTCCTAACTTTTCCATCACCCCTAAGACTTGCATATGTACTTGGGAGTGACATGAATTCAAGATCTATTAGTTGAAATGAACATTATTCTACCTCTCCTCTTCCCCCCCTGCCTGTCCATGCTTTAAAGCATGCTCTGCTTAGAACTGTGAGTAAATGCTACTTAAAGTACCAAAAATCACAGCAGGAGACAAAACTTAAATCCACAGCTGTTACTTGTTAGGAAATCAAACAGAGCAGTAAGTCATTTCAAGCATACCTGGGAATATTCAGGTTCTCTGGAAGAATTCTCATCATTTCTAAATAGCTTCACAGCTTTAAGATATGCTTCCATAACCTCAAGCTTGGCCTCATCGAAACCTTAGTAAATTTAAACATGATAGAGTTACATAAAAACCCCACCAACTCTCAGAAATTAACACTTCTAATTGAAAACTGTTCTTGAACATTGAAAGTATTTCTTCTCCAAGGCATACCACTACATATTACGTTCCCAAAGGAACTATTCAGGAATGATACAGAAATTAAAATACTGGGGAAAGTGTCTGGTTTTTTTTTTTTTTTTTGTTTAACTTTCCCTCTTTGTATTAAGGAACAAAATAAGCTACTTAAACATCAGAAATTGTAGCTAATTAAACTTACAGATTTGCCCCTTAGGTTTATGAAGATCCTCCAAATTAAGACTTACTTGTTTAAGAGAGACCACGTGTTTAGCTGATAAAATCCAGCAATGCTGGCTACTGTTAAGAAATCTGATTTGTTTGCTCTGTGCTGACCAACCCATGCATGTTTGTCATTAAAAATTCTTAACTCAAACATATCAGATTTCAGCTTCAGAAAGGCTTAATAATTCAGGTACGCTTTCTCCTTATCTATTCGTTACTGTGATCTTCTCTATTAGTTCTATCTTGAAAAGAAATGGATATTCTTCTGCCTTAGTTGAAGCTGTCAGTGGAAGTCTTGAAATGGAAGAAATCACAGTGAAAATCAGAAACATGCTGTGTTTTGATTCACTGTTTCATGATCTTGATTTGGTTTTGTAGGGACATTTGATTTTGCACTGAAACTATTACAGTGAATGACCTTGTAGGATTTCATCTTTACCTGCATGCTTTAAGTGCTTCAACGTCACATTATCAACAGGGAAAAAGCTCAGAATAGCACCGTATTCAGGACACATATTTGCTATTGTGGTTCGATCTGCCACAGACAGTTGGGAAACTCCACTCCCAAAGAACTCCACAAATTTTCCAGCGACTTCAGCTTGCCTAAGATGCTGTTTAAAAGAACACAACAACTCTTGGTATGCAAAGAAACAGTGGAAGCAATGCCTCTTGCAAACAGCAAAAATACCCACAACCTATGAGATACTGAGTACTAAATTCAAGGCTGGATGTTGACATTGTAAGACAGACTTCTATTGGCAGTGGTGTTTTTCAGATGCCCAAGGCAAAAACAGATGGATGCTTCTCAGAACATCACACTAGAAAGAACGTTTTCAAAGCAATCGAAGCTCTTAAATGCTTAGACACTGGCTGTCAACCAACCAGAAAAGGAAGTTTTGTGCCATGCTGGCAAAGCCCTGGCTTCAGAAGGTACATTTTTTAGTTATACCAGTTCATAACTACAGATGGGCCTTTTGTCTTGCAACACTTCAGGAAAAAAGGGTACCCAGAAAAAGTTTAAGCTAGAAGAGAAGCCTACATGCTATCAAAAGAATAGAAAAAAATAGAAAACAAGGATTCTGTGTGTTCTTTCCCCTACAAATAGGCTTTGTCTTTTTAAGAGAGCTTATAAGCAATCCACTACGTAAGACAAACACTCCAGAGGACTATGAAGCAAAAACTCTTAGACATTGTGGGAATCTTTCTGCATCACTACAACTAAAGGCATGCTGTAAATCCTGCCAGGATTTCACTTCTCAAAACCCACGGGTAGCTCTGCCTCAGCAGGCACTGAACTTACCTTTGTAATGCCCAGAACAATGTCTATGGATGTAGCAAGTGGGCTGGCTGTGCCCATCAGCTCACACCCAACCACCTCAGGCAGAGTGAGAGTAACCGGCATCCCCAGCATCACAGCTTCTGTTTCGATTCCCCCAACACCTGCAGTGAGAATATTACCTTGTTTTTCATCAGTCTAAGTAAACAGACACTAAATATTTCCAAGTTCTAAAGTCTAATAAAACCCTTCCTGTAAGTCTAGAGGCCACAGCAAGAAATACAGGTGTTTTCTATTACATATTTGCACGTGAAAAAACAAGCAAGACTACTGCTGAAGTTGTTTGACTTCACATTTAACTAGAAAGATATTCTAAGTTTTATTTTCCGCGATGAAGAAAACCTTAATCCAAATTTTACAGTACATGCACAAAAAGCAATTAGGATATCAAAAGGTTTTTGGTTCTCTTTTTTGCTATTTTCTTTAAATTGCATCAAACAGTTTTTTTATGGAAAGAAATTTCAGTAGAGACAAAAAAAAAAACACATTCTGCAGATTTACAACTGAGCCTGAAACTCTAGGAAGAAGAAAATATTTCTCAATAATGCTTCAGTAAGGCTTTCAAACTGCTGACAAGTTACTGTTAGCATACTTACCCCAGCCCAAGATACCCAAGCCATTTACCATGGTTGTATGAGAATCTGTGCCAACCACGCTATCTGGATATAGGAAATCTTTCACGTCAAATACAACTCTTGACAGATACTCCAAATTAACCTGGTGTGCCATTCCAGTCTCTGGTGGTATGATGGAAGTGTTCTTGAAAACTTTTGAACTCCACTGTTTTCGTTTTTCCAAAATGAGGAAAAGAGAGAGATTTTTCTCAGGGACTTATTCCATTCTTCTCGGAACACAATTAGAACAACAAAGCTGATATGCAATGCAATAGTATTTGCTACTTATGTGCCTCGTGCTCATTATTCCAACAGTTACAAGAGTTCCTTGGATCCTATGCATTCTGAAATGGTTAACAAACCCACACACTCCATTCTGAATCCATAGCTCCTAGCTCCCAAATGCAGGGCTGTACAAGGCTCTTAATTTCTAGCTCACGCAGCTGATTTTCAAGCACAGCCAAGACTAATATTTAGACAACAGAATTAGCATTAACATTTACCACAGATTTCAGTTTAGGTTTTACACACCTGTGTGGGACTAAGGAAGCAATTTATACAAGTGCCTTACTACATGCAAGCTCAGGATGCCACACAGCTACAAAAGAAACTGCCATGGAGGCTCGTAACAAAACCCAGCTCAGTGGTTTCCCTCTTCATACATACAAGCTGACCTGCAGCTTTTCTGAAAGCCTCCTAGTCTACTTACATGAAAAGATTTTTAGATCATTTGATCAGATTCCTAAGCCACATTAAATTAGGGGATGAGGATCAAACACCAATGCTGCAGATCCCCGGCTAGAAGGAAGCTGACACTCACCACAAGATTTACATTCAAAACAACTCTGCTGGCACTGCTGCCTAGTTTGAGAGCAGCAATCCTTCAATATCAGCTTCCATTTAATATTTCTAGTTTCATAAGTTTGCAACACAAGCATGGACAAATAAACTTGTTATCTGAAAAGCCTATTGTGATCTACAGCACAGAGTTCATGAAATATCAGTCGACTGCAGTTTAGTAAGTGCTTACTTTGACCAGTACCTTCACACTGACAACACCAAACCAATCACTATCCACTTTTCCAAATCATTTAAATCTTCTCTCCCCTTTACACGACACCCAGATTTACAATTTCTGCTGTCTAGCAATTTTAAATTAAAATCCATAAACCTGTTACAAGCCCATTTTATACTCACACTGAACTCAGATTCACAGCCTGACAAGCTACATTATGTAATGTTGAACACCAGGAAGCAAACAAAGCAAGATGTCCCACCCACCAAAACATGCAATATACAAAATGCACAGGTGCACAGACATACCTTAAAAAACTGAAGCCTCTCTCTATTTCTGCCAAATTCCATCTCTTGATTTTTCAATACTGTCTCAGGCCTAGAAAGACAGCAAGTTGACAAGTACTATCATAAACCATTTCAAAAGTACAGAAGAACAAGTTGGTTTTGCTTGTTTGATGAAAGACAGTACAGCCTAATAACATGAATTTTGATATCCTAAGTGATATTCATTAAGATGCTGACATTCATTACAAAGGAGTAATCCACAATTTAAGAGTAACCTCTGCTTTGAGAAAAAGAACCAGGAAGGGAATACAACAGGGGAGTTGGAACTAGATGACCTTCAAGATCCCTTCCAACCCAAACCTAACTTGATGATTCTGTGATTCTATGAATATACCTGCCTTGCAGCAGGAAGAAAGAGAACCCTCAGTATTACAGAGGTGTATTTCATTGCACACCATGACCTGTGAGGTGTCACAAGGTTTGCAGTGCAGTGTTCTACAGAGCCCCGAAGGACAGCCATCATTAAACTGCAGCTTAACAAATGACACTGCTGGTTTCCTGCCAGGATAGCCAAAAACATCACTAATTCTGCATTCCCACACCTGTACTGACCAGAAATATTTGCATATCTGTAAAATTACAAACACAACCAGCATTTAAATTTTACCCCAGTCAGGCACAAAGAGATACTTGAAGAGCCTGAGAGAAAAGAAATGGCAGCTGAAAGAAGATCACAAGTAATTGTCACAGATTGAATGGACACAATGAACTGTTAAAATTGAAGATCTGGAAAAGAAACAGATGAGGATCCCCTGTGCCATTACACACAAGCAGAATGTACAGTGCATTTCAGCTGCGTGATTGAGTTCAACTCTTTGAAAGAGCAGATAACAGCAGGACAAGGGGAAATGGTTTTAAGTTGAGGAAGGGAAGATTTAGGTGGCTGTCAGTTCTTTACTACGAGAGTGGTGAGGTGCTGGAACAGCTGTCCAGAGAGGCTGTGATGCCCCATCCACCCTGGAGGTGTTCAAGGCCGGGTTGGATGGAGCTCTGGGCAGCCTGGGCTGGTATTAAACGTGGAGGTTGGTGGCCCTGCGTGTGGCAGGGGGTTGGAGATTCGTGACCCTTGAGGTCCCTTCCAACCCTGGCCATTCTGTGATTCTGATTCTGTGACAGATGGAATGTGAGACAGAAGTGATGTTTAGGCAAGTCCATAAGGGCTGGAAATTCCTCCAAGGATCCCACAAGTGAGGGAAAAAAAAAAAAAAAAGATTACTTTTAGCCATAAAAATCAATGTTTCATTGAGGCTTATCTGGTAATTAAGGGAAGTCTCACAATGCAATTAAAAGCAGCATTCGCACTGTTTACAGCACAATCTCTATAGACTGTCACAAGCAGAGTTTAACAACACAGAACAATGCAAATAATCAAAGGAGCAAGTTTTCATACTCAGGCACTGGCTGAAGGTGAAAAGGGCAGAGGATAGGTGTGTTCTCTATCTGTGCAGAGAACTGCCCCGAGGCACGGCTCAGCTCCCCAGCACTGCAGGGCCCCTTGCAGCTGCTCTGGCCCCGGCATGGCAGTTTCCTCGGCTGGCCCTTCAGCGGAGAAAGCTTTGCTGCTGTCGGCTTCTGCGCCTCACCGCCCCCAGGGTTCGGGGCGTTCTGTATTGCACTGCAGCAGTGAACAGAAGAAGAACATCAGTTTTGTTTGCCCTCCCCACCCCACAAACCATTTGGAGAAATAATTTAAAGAGGAGGAAATAGATGTCGTTTTATTCTAACCCTAACGCAAAGTGAACTCTCGCTGAATAAGCTCCCTTAAACGTAGCAAAGTAATAACCAGAAGTGAACTGCCCTGGATTGCCTGAAGCTCTGACACCATTTGACACCATTTACTCCTCCCATGTGGTCACAACAGGTCAGCAGCACTCACAAACCACACTGCAGAGGCTAAACTCAGGGTTTTAACATTCGAAGGGCTGGGCAGAGCCTCATCCAAGCAGTGGGATATGCTGCATTTTTCTTACTCCAGAGCAGTTCTACACATTCATTAATGTCAGAATGATTTACAAGACAAAGACTTCTCAAGGAAAGAAATGAAGCTGTCCTATTCAAGCTGGCTTTTGATATGAATTGTCAAAGATTCAGATACATTTGATGCTCACATCACTCAGTCAGAAAGCAGAAATTTGGTTTTATTTTTAAAATAAAGTCCATCTAATATGCTACCCATATTTGTGCAAGTTCTCCCATGAGAGCTAAGTAAGTAGTTGTGGTGAAAGGTGAATGATTTAACAAATACTCAAATGATTAAAACAAATCATTGATTTTAAGTAAATCCCCTGCTCTCTGCTGCTTTAGCACAAGAAGATACTTAGTTATCTAATGGTAGAATAGCACAGGGCCACAGAGGATACCTTGTCTTAGGCTCATGGAATTAAGACCAGCAGGAGATGGCAATTGTATAAAAGCAGCACAAACCACCCTGGGGAGAAGGGTTTCTTATCATAGGTCAGCAGCTGCTGAGATCCTGCAAGCTTTCCAGAAGCCAAAGGACAGTGAGACACTTTATCGTTACAAAGCAGCACACTGGGAGACCTCTTGCCAGCACTTGGTGCTGCTGATAATTTCAGGTTAGCCCCATTGCAATCGACTCAGCTGTCCCTGAATGGGCAGAACTGCTACAGCACACATGCCAACACCACTTCATACCTTCTTGCTCTTCCCTCTGAGCTACTTAACCCAGCTGAAATCCTGCATGTACCTGGACATCCTACAGAAGGATGCCTCGCACACCCATACCCAGCTGCTACAGGCTTTTTCCCTGAATTTTTAGGAATTCAGGAGGAGCTCAAGCAATTAACACAGTTCTGCATGACTCTGGGAAGGCTCTGTGATGAATGGGGATAGGGGTGGGGGGGGAACTACATTATGGGAAATGCTCAGCAAATGTGGAATAAAATTCACGTTCTATTCTGCAACGTTATCTTTCTAGTGCAAGGCAGCCCCAGGCTGTTCTCATCACATTACTGCCTGTCAGGAGAAGAAAACCAGGCTGTCAGTCTTCCAGATGTAATACTTAGCCAGACTCCTACAAGCATGCTGTCTCCACGGCCTTTTTTTCATCTGCAGTAAAAACCAAGGCCTATATAAAGTCACAGTCATAACTTAGCAGCTGAAATTACAACCTTTCAGTGCATCCAGTAGTACTGCCAAGCCATTTCTCCAGAGCTGTGAGAAGGCACTTGCATTCAATACTAATCAAGAAAATAACTTTTAACAGTAGGAACAGCGCAAAGCAAGAATTACAGCCACTCCACCTCATTCTCTTGAGACATACTATTTTTTGGAAGCCACGACAGATCCTGCAGTTTATTTCTGCAATTTCTTGCCCAGAATTTGGGTTACCAAGTCAGCTCCAAGCATAACACCTCACAATCATTCTCTCTCCTTCTGCAGTATTACTTTCTCCACTTTTACCAGCTCTCTTTCAGGTGCTATCAGGTCTACTTTCAAGGACAAAGATTTGAGAAGTGATTTACCAGGGTAAACAGTCAGTTTAGTACAGGGTAAAGGGCATGGTTCATGAAAAGAGAAGAAAAGAGATCTGTTACCATTTGCTGAAATCAATCTGCAGAGAATGGTCAACAGTGAGATCAGTCGGGCAGGCAGGATTGACTTTCACAGGATCTCCTCCAGCATTTCTTACTGCTTCCCTCATGGCAGCGAAATCCACCATTGCTGGAATTCCACTAACAGAAAGAAAGCAAAGTAGCACAATAACGTGGGATGCACATGTATTACACTCACAAACCTCTTCGAAAGCCCAAATCTACTTGAGTTCTATTTCAGAAGTTAAAACCCTACTGTTTTATTCTCCAAATTTTGGAAGTGAATGAACTGGCACTAATTCACAACAAGCAACAGCACGTTTTAAGGTAACAGACCTACAAAATACAGCAACGCCTTCAAGAAGACAATTATTTGCTCTTTTGCCTTGCCATGTTTCTGAAGCACAATGTTCTTCACTTTAAAACACCACTTTTAGATACTTATTACCTTATAAATACCTATATGAACACTGCTCACGCTATACTTTAATACCTTGGTATATATTACTACTCTTCTTACAAAGCCACTCATTTCTGAAGCTCACAGCATATTACAGAATCAATACTCTTGTTACTATTACACTGATAAGTATACTTGAAGCACACAACTGAAGAGAGAACACAGCATTATTTAAATCATTTTTATTTTGCCTGATATCCCATTACTTTATTACCATCACATTCTTTCTAAAACTCTCTTGTTCATAAATACATCATTAATTAGTCTCCAGGACATCTTAAATTTAACATTCCCAAGTTGCTGAAGGACAGTCCTTACCTTACAGCTATGCTATACTCAAACCACATCAAGCTATTATCTTCAGAGACTTTAATGTATGCATCATTCATTGTTTCAACTGGATTACACACACTGGTGGAGCATGCAACATTTAATCTCCAGTTGTGTGAAGCACAAACTGTGTTTCAATGAACTGTCAGCCATCTGGCTACAATCTAAACGCCTCCACTTCCATTTGTGTTTTGGCATTAATCCTGTGAAACACCCACTGTAGGCCAACAGCTTCAGCTTCACCAACCTGCAGTAAAACCAAGGCACCCTAAGGAACAATTCCTCTTCTCGTGCCACACGTAATCGTGACGTCTCTGCTGAACAGCAGAAGCACTGCATGCATTTCTACTGACAAAGAGAGAAACTTCAGTACCCAGCAGCTAGGTGCTGTTTATTGCCAAGCTGAAGTACACATGCCACTCGCTGAGCTCTCACAGGTTATTTGACATTTCTTCCACACACTCACGTGTGCAAACGCTCTACTTACGTAAAATCTTGAAGAACAACTCTGGCAGGACAGAAGGGCACTTCGACATCGTTCTGCTTTGTTTTCCAGTCTAAAATGTTCATAGCATCTGTTTCTTTCACCAGGAAGCCATCGCAGTTACGGATGCTGGATTCAAACAACACTCGTATGGAATAAGGCAGAGTATCTAGGGCAAAACAAAACAACTGGCTTAATTAGTGCAACACCCCCAACTCATCATGTCTTTATGAATTACTATTTCACATTTCTAAGGAGGTCCACTTCACTACAAATCAGAAGGGAGAGAGCTGTGGGAAACAAGCTGCCTAGCTGCTGTGGGGTTTGATCCTCACTATAGAAGGTGGAACAGTACAGCAGATGAGTTGCATTGAATTTGAACTGAAGATGCCAGGGTTTGCACTGTGTGACTGCACTGTGTTACGCCAGCAGCAGACAGGAAGGTATGCTGTGCTGGCAGGAGATGCACACGAGGCATACAGAGTTGGGGTTACCAATCAAACAGAATGGGAGAAAGGCAACACTTAGTGGAGTATACTAAGAACTTTTTGTTTGTTCATTTCACCATCTCACTACTTGAGATATCAAGCCAAGACAACCAGTGCCTGATATTTTCTTCAAAAAAAAACAAAAAACAAAAAAAAAAAAAAACACACCACTGTGATTTCAGGACCAGAAACTCTCCTGATACGTGCCATAAAATTCAACATTTCATAAAATACAAAGAACAACATTTCACTAAACATAACTTCCAGGGCTTTGTCTCTGATCTGGGCTAAGGTACTGAGAAGAAACAGCTTCCTGGCATGGTAGAACTGAAGGAACTGGAAATGAGAAGGAAAAAAACTGGGAGAAAAGGAGAAGCATCACTGCAAACAAACAAAGAATTCACATTTCCCTCCATGCATCATTCTTTGCATCATAATTCAAGCAGACAAATAATTTAATAACAGTGAAGTATGAACAAATTAGTTACAAGAAGGGAGTTAAACAACTCAGTACAAAAAACAGTACATTCATCCACAAGCTGCTAATAAAGATTCACTGTTGTCATCATGAACCTTGCTAAAGTATTTACTGTTGTCTAACCAGACAAGTCATTCAAAATAATACAGAATCATCATCAAAACCATATTTGAATCAACTGTAATAGCACCATTTTACTTTTCAGTCAAATTACCAGAACAGAACTGCTTGACTTACTCCTTACAAGCACAGTTAGCAAGGGGTGCTGCTCTGTACAGGTAGCAGTCATCAGCAGTGCAGGATGGATGACTTTGCTCTACCAGGGGCTACCAAACTGGCAGAGTATCCACAGCACTGTGCGTGGTTTTGGGCCTCCCAGAACATGGGACATCTCAACAAATCAAAGCACACCCAGTGAAGGGCCTCGGAGATGGTTACAGGCTGCAGAACGTGTCACAGAGCTGTGAGAGCTGCACCTGCTCAATCTGAGGAGAGAAAGCTAAGTGCACTAATTGTAGTCTTTCACAGTTGATTGGGAACTGCAGAGAAGGTGAAGCCTGCCTTCTAAGAAGTGCATGCTGAAAGCACAGAAACAGCCACAAGGTGCAGGAATAGAGACCACAGTCAGACACAAAGAAGATGATGTGATGGGGAGGATGGGTAAGTACAGGATTATGAGACACAGTGGAATCCCCATCCTTGGAGACTGAAGTGAGAAAGGCTGTTCAAGTCAGCCCCAGTCCCAGCAGTAATGCAGGCCCAGCTACCATTTTACCCACAACAGATTACTATCATCAACACTAGGAAAAAAAAAAAATAAAAAAAAAAAATCAGATTTCCCCCCCCAACAAATCACAAATAAATGATTAACAGTTGCATTAGAAATCTGATTAACTTAAACAGGCACTTATTGTCAGACCATGGTCAGAAGCCCCAGGGCAGAGCGCAAACAGGGCAAGAACCAAAATTAATGCTCTAGCAACAAATTCAATTAACAATTCCAGATAATGGATTTCTTATTACAATCATCCACACTGCACCTAAATTCAATATCTTTCTAATATTCAGTTAGTACAAGGCTTCCAACTTCTGCCCATCAATTTCTATTGGAAGAGAAAGACCACCCTAACTAACCTATTCTGCTTGGATTCATTCTGTGAACATTTTCAAATTCCACTGCTGCTCCAATCTTTATTTGGACATCTTAGATAGAAAGCAGTATCTTCTGTTTGAATTTTCACTACAGGCCCTTCAGAAAAACGAAAGAAACCTACAGAATGGGCTGGTTTTGCTGCTACCACTCCACTGTTTCTTCTCAGACAAAGCAACAAACTGAAACATTTTGCCCCTTCCCATTCGGAAGATGAACTCCAGTATTACATTAGAAATTTGCAAGAGCACACAGCTGTTGCACAAAACTTGGAACAGCCACTGTTGCACTAGCAAGAGCTCCTCCCTCTTTGCTTCAAAAACAAGGACATAATTATTGCTGCCAAACATGGGCTTGAAGTGAAATACTCTCTGTAATTTTTAGTTAGGAAATGTTCTTGAATATTCTTGAAATCTAATGTTTCTGAGCACGTTCAGTGCATTTTTCACCAAAGAGCACAACTGAAAGAAGATCCCAAGTACCTCTAATATGTACCTCAAGCATCTTAAAAGCTTAACACGAAAGCTAAGAGAATAACAAAAATATATTCTGATCACCTTCAAGAGCAAAACCCATTCCAGCTGACTGTGACCCATAGCTCTCTCTCCTTCTGCATTTCTGTCCCATCCCACATCACTGCACAAATACTTTTTATCTTTTAGTAGCCATCCGGACACAGAACCCAGTAAAAAAAAAAATATATATATCTTTTGGGCAGCTATTAGTGATATATTGCCTGCTAATGACATGCTGAGATTAAGGATTTGTTTGTACACCACCAAAACTCACCATTCCACAGCAACCACAAGAGCTATCAATCAACTTCATAAAACAATAATAGGGGAGAAGATTATAAGCTTTCAAATACATGCATTAAGAACTCACATACACAGTGCACCTCCTAACACTTCACAGCAGTAAGTGGTGCACATGTACTGCAGGTACTGCCCTCATTACAAACATAGAAGTTATCATTACCATACTTGGTGCCTCCAAGCTTTGAGACATTGTAGAACCTCTTTCGTGGATGGTTTCTTAGTTCTTCAATTATGGGCTGGTAAGGGCTTCCTGAAAAAGAAAACACAACAGAGTTATGGATATCATACAATCTTTTGAGTTGGAAGAGATCATTGAAAACCACCAGGTCCAACCCCCCTGTAATGGACAGGGACACCCACAGCTCCATGAGGAGCTCAGAGCCCCCCCAGCCTGCCTCTGAATGTCTCCAGGAATGGAACATCCATCACATAACAGGGCAACCAGAGAGCCAGAGCCTCAGTAACCGTAGTGCCAAAAACTTCTTCCTTACATCCAATCTAAAAGGCCCCTCTTTCAGTTTGAAACCATTTCCCTTTATGCTACCACAACAGACCTTGCTAAAGAGCCTGTCCCCTTCTTTCTTCCAGCCTCTTTAGATACTGACAGACCACTCTCAGGTCACCTCAGAGCTCCCGGGCTGCACAGCCCCAGCTCTCAGCCTGGAGGCCTTCCATCACTCAGGTCATTTTTGTGGCCCTCCTCTGGATGCACTCCTACAGGTCCGTGTCTCTCCCATGCTGATGACCCCATATCTGGATGCAGCACACCAGGTGAGGTCTCATAGCACAGAGCAGAGGGGCACATCCTCCCCTCACCCTGCTGGCCACACAGCTTTGGATGCACCCAGGATATGTTTGGCTTTCTGGGCTGCAAGGGCACACTGCCAGCATACCTGTGTTCTACCCTTACATCCCCCAGCTTGTACTGGCACCCAAGTGCACACCCTGCTCTTGGCTTTGCTGAACCTCATGAGGTTCTCCCAGCCACAGCTCAGCCTGCCCAGGTCTCTCTGGATGGCATCCCGGCCCTTGGGCGTGTCAACCACAGAAGGCCAGGTCAATGATAGAAGACTCTTAACACCAAGTTTTCATTTCTGATTTTACCAAAAATAAAACTCCTCTGGGGTTTTACATCAATTACATATGGAGATGTTTTAAATGGATTAAGAGACTTGATGAGATAGCTGTGTGATTAAGACAAACGTTAATATTACCAGGTATGCACAGGTCATGCAAATCACCAGTGTAGCCAGAAGCCTTAACACACGTTTGACCTTTATTGTCTTCGTTGACCATCTACAAACGGACTTAATGACTCAGATAAGGACAGACACGTTACAAAGCATAAATCACGATGTGCCAGGCTGACAACAAACAAGAGACGAGAACAGACCAACATATTCAGCAAAAATACCTCTTCAGGAAGACCGCCAGCTCACAAAACAAACGTTTTAATTCAATCGCTAGCAAACTAAACGGGCAGCGCCAACGACAGCTCATCAAACCTGAAGAATTTCATCGAAGCTTTACGGAATTCAAACCCGGATCACAAAGAGCCGGGAGAAAATGGACCCGGCTGCGCCATGGCGGGGCCGCATACGGCGAGAGCGGCACAGCGCAGCGCTCCGCAGCACCGCCTTTGTCTGCCGCCCGGCCGCCCCGCACCGCACCGCGGCCACAACAACAGCGGACAAAGGCTGCGCCGCGGGCAGCCAAACAACGCAGCACCCGAGAACGGGGAGAGACGCGACGGCGGCGGGCAAGGATAAATAACGGAGGGCGAGCGGGAGCCGGCACCGAGCAGCGGCGAACGAAGCGGTTCCTGCGGGCGGTACCGAGGGTCCCGCAGCGGCGCGGCACACAGCCGCCCCCCCCCCCCCTCCCAGCCAAGCGCCGCGCGCTCCTCCTCCCCTCAGCGGGGGCCGCGCTCCAGCCGGGCCGGGACCGCCGCACCGCCGGCCGGATGAAGGGCCGAAGCGAGGCGCGGGGGTCCCGCCGGGAGAGCGACACGGCCCTTTGGAGCGCGGGCGGCGGCCGGCCCGCTCGCACCGACCTGGCCTGATAGCGTCCATCGCCGGCGACCATATTAGCTCTGCGGGGAGGGGAGCGGGATGCCGGGGGGGGGGAGCGGGGCCCGGGCGGGGCGGCTCGGCTCTCGCGAGATTACGCCGCCCCCGCCCAGCTCCCACCTGCCTCCTCGCCGCTCGCGAGATTCGCCGTCGTGCGGCTGCGCGAAGAACGCGCGGTGTCGCGAGATCTCGAGCGATGGGCGGAAGTGGGCGAGTGAAGGCGCAGAGGCGGTCCGCTCTAGCCAGAGCTGCGAGTTTAACGACGTCGGCCGCGGGGCGGGGCTGCGCCGGGAGGCGGGCGGTGCAGTTCGGCGGCACGTGGAGGAGCCGCTGTGAATTAAGGCTCGTTTCTCTGGGATATTAATTATCTCAGACCGCTGTTTATTCAGCGATAGCGATTTCAGTTGTCTCTGTGAATGTTGCTCTAAAATGATGGCGCTCCGGAAATGAAGTTTGTTTTAACCCTTTGCAAGAGCTGCCTTTCGCAGCGCTAAAAGCCCTCCCGCAGCCCCTCCGTGACATCCGGCAGGCTCCCAGTAAATCAGATGGTAATGCTGCTTACAGATAGCTGCAGATGGGGTCTAAAGTTCAGGCCGACTATAAGGAGAGGCTCAAGTACTTCAAAACTTAATTCTGGGGCTCAGATTATTTTATAGACCAAATGGTCTATAAAATCACGCCTCACCGTGATCAGTTCATAGCACCAAGGGTGTTCAGCAGAGTCAACATGCTCACTTTGAAACAGACCATATAATGAGGAGATGGCAAACTTCTACTATTGCAAAATCACTCTGTTTTCAGGTTGCAAACGAGCACTTTTCCTAGTTGCTCAGCAGGGTCTACGCATTCACAAAGTCTGTTCTCAGAGATAACGGGAAGAAGAAGGGCTTTGTGCGCTGATTAACTGAGTCCTGAGTGTGAGGTCTTCACTTCAGGAAGTACAAGCAACTGGGGAACTTCAAGCTACACTGTCCAGTGCTCATGGCAGTCTGTGAAATATCAGGCTTAACAGCCGTAGAGATGACATCTGTTTTGATTCAGGCTATACTTGTTACTGACAAGCTTGTTTTAAATGGATGGCATCTGTTGCCTTCTTTACTGAACGCTGCAGGAAGATGTGGGGAGAAGCACAGTTCAGCTTTCCTACCTCAGGATTTCTGCAAGCCTGAACTGCTGGCATTGCTTTCCCCCCTAAACCTCAGGAACAAGTATTTTCCTTCTCATGAAGGGAGGGCTTACCTGCCATCTGCTCACACTTGTGTTGGAGAGCCACGCTGTGTGCCCTCCTCACTCACTGCTGGAGTTCTCTTAATTTGGCAAGTACCACTCTGCGTTTCTCACATCTGGAGGGAAAAAGCCAGGAGGGCTGGGTGCCACTGCTGGGCACATCCAGGCTGCAGTGCCACAGCTCCATGCCTCTGGGGAGGCAGCAGCAGGAAACATGTTGTACATCCACAACAGAGGAGCTTGGTCTATTTAGTGAAGAAGTGGGCAAGAATGATTGCGCAGTTGCGCAATTCTGCACCAGGCACTGTTATTCCCTAGTGCACCTGGGCATTACGGGCAGAATTAAAGATCTTTTTAGCTGCTGATTGCATCTAGTATGAAGGCAGCTTATGCCCACCTGACAGTTTTTAGTCATCCACCAAAACCTTCACAGGTTGGCAGGATGAGCCACTTCATGCATTTTGTTTCCTGATGAGTTGGGGCCTGGCACGCAGCAAGTTCTGTTTTTTGCTCAGTCTTAGTATTTGATTAACTGCACTGTAACCCAAAGGACAGAGAAGGATGCTTAAGGTGTGCTGAAGACTTTTTTCTTTTCTTTTTTTTTTGCACCAAATAAGGTTTTTAGCAAGATAAAATCCAACTCATGATCCTAATGAGACCAGTATCAGTCTGAGACAAGAACACCATATCACTGTTTTAGCAAATGCTCCTCAAGTTGGGACTAGGTAAGAATCCCCCAGACTTGAGAATTTAGGAGAACCCAAGAGGCATGTAGAGGTGGGAGTCCGATGGGGGATTCCAGTCTTCCCATCTAGATGCTGAAAAGCTCTACCAGGAGAGACCGTCAGTCTACACCCTAAAACTGGAGTGGTACCTGAGCCAACCAGTTTGCCTGTCTGGTCCCCCACCACTGCAGCCAGTGCAAACAACAAGGACTGTGCTTCCTTCTCAGGTGAGGCAGGAATGCGGGCTGTGTCCTCTTTGATGCCTGTTTGGCAGCTAGAATTAAATCTTCCCTCCACAGCTATTGTAGCCTCCGGGAGGCTGGTTTGAATGGCTCCTGCAGATGGCATCTGCCTCCTGGAGATGGAGCAAAATCCACGCTAGACTGCAGCAAGTCTCATTGGATGAAGTGTGTGAGAGAGCGATCAAAGATGCTTAGACAAACTCTGAGCGCTGCTTCTGCGCCTGCTGCTCAACTCCCCTGGTTGTGCAGTCCTCACCACCTCACCTCCACAAAGCAGCACTTGACCTGCTGCCCTGCAGGTAGGTGAGGCATCAGCTTGCTGCAAGCCCAGCGTCAAGGGGACAGGAGAGCAAGAAGAGCCCAACATGTCCAACGCTCACGGCATCATTTGGTGCAACTTTATGTTGTATCCTGATAACCCCACGCCCTGCTTTCTGCTTTCCAGTTCTGTGCTGAAGGCAGCTGCTGGGGAGTGCAGGGAGGATGTGGATGAAAGCTGCTCGGCCTGAACTGAGCACCCAGTTAAGAGGCAGATGGGGAGAAAAAGGAAGGGCAAGGCTCTGAACTGAGCAGAACAGGATGGTGCAGCTTCCAGAGGAGGGACGACGACAGCAGGAAGTGGCGATGGCTGGAAGCGTTTTTAAAACCAGTTGGGGAACAGCTGTGCTGATTTTAATCCAACTGGACTGAAGTGCCTCCAGAAGAGCCATAAAGCCCTTTGATACCTACCGCCCATGCAATAAAATGTTAATCTCAGCTGAAAGTCTTTGTTCTCTTAGTGGTATTTTTCTATTTAGAGGTAATACACTGCTGCCTCCAGTCAGAGGCCCCACTGTACCATGGATGTGTGACTGAAGCTGCTCCTGCTGCAATAGCTTTAGCATGTGAGAGACAATGCACAGCAGGAGAACCCAGAGTCCTAGTGACCACTGGGAGCAGAGGCACAGCCCTTCTGTTGCAGCAGCACTGCCTTATGTGCCAGAGAACCTGCAGCACAGCTAGGTGTTTTGAGGAGGAGAACAGTGTGGCTGTGGGGAGTTTTACGTATGTGTGGTAGAAAGTCTAAGAGAGCTGCCATGGCAAGTTCAAAAGGAGCAGGCTGAAGTCCCAAGAGCAGGTGTGAGAAAGATTCTCAGTAGCATCTGATATATCAATACAGGAGAGGCCATGAACGGCTTCGGGGCCATTTCTAAGCCATCCTAGGGAAGGCAGTAGTTTGTTTCCCACTGGGATGTCACATATTCCCCTGATATTCATATGTCATGTGGTTGACAGTTTAAACCTAATCACTGTAGGCTGCCAGCTATGCTTCCAGCCCTGACCTGTAAGTATGAATGGTACGTGTGCCTCACACCTTGCTCTCAACAGATCTTAGTGACCACTGGTTTTTGCTGTACACAGAATAGGCCTGTCCTGCAAAGCATGGGCTGAATGCTCAGGGCTCACAAGGACTCGAGCTATGCCCACATTAGCACTCAAGAAATTTGTGACAAGTTTGACAGAAGTGAACCAAGTTTCAATTTTTGCACCAGTTCCATCCTTCATTCATCTCTTTCCCCTCTCCAGAAGTTCTGGCTCAAAATGTATTCTTTCTATTCCTTTGCACGTTGTCTGTGTCCCCAGGTTTCTTCAAAATCAGAGGAAGTGGCACAATAGAAGTGTTTAGGCTTCCTTCCCTCAGATCTCTTCTTCATTTCCAGGAATTAGGAGAATCTCCAGGCCACCAAAAGCTCTTACCATAAGCAGACATCTTCCGTATCATCAGATATGGAAGCTCGTGGCATTATCTAGAATAGGAAGAGTAACTTCCTATTAGTTTAGCTGGACTAGTTTAGCACTGTTGAGTGCTGAAATTACTGGGCTGCTTTCTGTTAGAGGTTGCTTTTTCAGTCAGAACCCTATGCTAAATCTACTACGTTGTCCTGGCTACTATTCTATCACTGACAATAGAGTTTGAAGCCTATTTGGTGTTCTTTGGCAAAAAGAACTGTATTTCTGCCAAACATTCTGTTTTCCATCTAATACTGCTCACTGAGATATCTGATTTTGGAGAGGGCTCTAAGCTGCCACTCACAGTGTCTACAAGTGAAGGTAGGGATGCCACCAACTACTTCCATTATTTCGCATGTACTGTTCTTGCTTTCTCAATCTTAGCAGCAATTTGCCACCTCAGACTTTTGTACACACTACTTAGAGGTTTTAAATAACTCTTTATCCCTGTAGCTGTTGTATAGTTCTGCCTTCTGCTGCATTAATAAGCCCCGTTATGCTGTTATCTTGGTTGCTATCAGAACCAAAAAGCTAAAGTGAACTCTAGGCATAGCTTGCTTCCATTATTATCTTTATTGGCATTTTTATGCAACCATTTGTCTTCAATATCTGCAGCTGTATCCTGAAGGATTTTGTAAAGGTACGTACAATATTTTCCTCTCATGAGAGCTTGGTTTTAATTCAGCGCCTTCCCCCCTCCTCCTGCCTATTTAAAAGAAAAAAAAAAAGTTTCCACTCCAGTGCTGTCTTAAAAGCATAAAAAGCATCTCACAGATGGGCTGACTACTCAAAAAAGGCAAGAATCTTAAAATCCAGCAGATCCCAGTCTAAACTCCACTCCTACCCTGCTGCATTATAAATTAATGTGTCTTGATGTCATATTTTTCCCACCACTGCTTTCAGCAAACTCCATCCTTTTCATTTCCTCTGTAGCTCTACTTACAGCTGGCAAACTAATCACTGCCTGAGCACTGCACCTCAAAATATTTGTTTATGCTGAATGAGTCTAGCTGGATTTTCTGTTTCACATCATCTGCTGTTCATGTTAATCTGTATCAGTGTTTGGTTCACGGTACTGAGCTCAAAGAACAATT